GTGGGAGAAAGATGCGACAGTCTGCTTCTGTAAAGATTACAGCCTTTGAAATGATGGCACACAAGAACAGCTGCTTTCAAGATTTTTTCTGTCTTCGTTTTTCAGCACTTTTGACTGTGATGTTTTTAGGCTTTTTTTTGACTGTGATGTGTTAGGCCTTTTTTTTTTTTTTAAATCTGCTTGATTTTCATTGAAGAGTAGAGTTGATGTTTTTCATCAAATTAGGAGGTTTTAGCCATTAATTCTTCAGATCTTTTTGCCCCTATCTTATTCTCTTCTCTTTTATGGAACTCCATTTACACACATTTTAGACTGTTTTAAGTTGTCATGCAGGTCCCCAAGTCTCTGTTCATTTTCATGTATTCATTTTTCTCCAGGTTGATCTATGTTCAGGTTCACTGCTTCTTCTATCTTGAATCTGCTGTTAAATCCTTCTAATGCATTTTTAATTTAAGTTATTGTGCTTTTCAGTTCTAGAATTTCCGATTGGTTTTTAAAAATAATTTCCATTTCTTTGTTGGTATTTCCTATCTGTTCACTCGTTAAGACCATATTGTCCTTTATTTTTTCAACGTATTTCCCTTTAGTTCCTTGAGCATATGTATAAGAGACATTTTAAAGTTTTTGTTGACTAAATCCACCATCTCTTTGCAAACCTGTCTAGTAATTTTGAAACTATATACTAGACCTTGTGGATGTGTGGTAGAGACTTTGGATTTTGTTATTTTCTTCTGAAGAGTGTTGATTTTTGTCATAAAAGGCTGTTCAGTTACTTGCTGATCACCCTTAACTTTTGCAAGCTTCATTTTATACTTGGTTAGGGTAGATATGTGGAAAGATCAAGGTGTTTTCCAAGTCCTTCTAACTTGGCAGGACTCAACTTCCAAACTCTGCTTCCCTTTGAATCTTGTTAGGGCTTGATATTAGGCTTTGTTAGGGTGGAGCTAGAGTAGGTCTTATTTAGAGCATGGTTTTTTCTCCTAGGAGGTTTCATCCGAATGCCCAGAAAACTAATAAGACTTCTCTGTTCTTGCTAGGCTGGAAATATAGTGTTTACCAGTGCTGCTTAATGTGTCCCTGTTCTGCTACTAATCCCACAGCAGCTGCTCTCTGGTGACTCTTGGGCACTTTCTCCCTGGACAGCCCAGCCCTTAGCCAGGGACTCAAATGGAGCTTCTGAGGATCTTCCTCTGCACAGCTCCCTACTTTCCAGGATCCTGGTGCAATAGTTAAGAGCTTAGCTGCTAACCAAAAGGTCAGCAGTTCAAATCCACCACCTGCTCCTTAGAAACCCTTTGGGGCAGTTCTTCTCTGTCCTGTAGGGTTGCTATGAGTTCAATCGACTTGATGGCAATGAGTTTTGGGTTATTTTGCCCAGCAACTTGTCTTGAACTCTTATGTCTGCCTCCTCAACTCACTTGGACTGCTGTGCTTTGCTTAGATGCTCATCTGTTGTACACCGGTTTGGATATTGCCTTCAAGCAGAGCATCTGGGCAATCACGGGGTTTGCCTTGTGAGTTTCTTTTCTTTTAGTGATTTTAATTTTGTGCTGCCTATTTTATAAAACCTGAAAACTGTTGCTTCATGTATTTTGTCATTTTGATGGTTGTTTACAGTAGGAGGACTAATCTGGTACCAGTTATTCTGTCATAGCCAGACGTGTATGGTTGCTTCTTAGCTATAGATTTTTGTATTAATTGTATCATGACAAAACCTGTCTGCCTTTTTATTAGTGATTTGTTCAAGTGCATCAACACAAATAAAATTCCTTACCTGGGTTTTGTGAGGGGGAAAAATGTTTTTTATTGAAGAGATACTGTATTCTATGATTTTCTAAAATTGTATTACATTTTATATATCTGATCTGTAAAGTATGATGGTTCTTGTGTGTCTTTTCAGAGGAGGGCATGAGCATTCCTTTAGTTTACCTTATCTTCATCAGTATAAGGATTGGTCCTAGTTACGTAAAGTACTTGACGAAAAATAACTAGAAATATTGAATTTGTTGAATTTTTTTATAGCTGGAAATTCAGAGTTTGTCCTGTTACCAAGTAAAGAATATTTTTTCTCAGGCATTAATTCATTCAATAAATATTAATGACTGTTTAATTTCCATTATATTTGCATGGATAAACCTTACCCTTGTTGAGTACACTTAAATGTGGGAGACAAACAATTAAAACAACATCAAAAAATTACAAATTCTAGTATCCAATAGGAAGAAGGTAAATGGGGCTGTGAGGCTTTGAAGTAGAGAACAGTGAGTCCCTGCTTTGGATAGGGTGGTCGAAGAAAGCCTCTTTGAGGAGTTTGTATTTCAGCTGAGTGAATAAGGAGCTAGACTCTTTGGGGGAGAAGTGGAGTCAGGGACTTTGATAGGTTTTCTAGTACCTTTGTTGAACCTGTAAAAATCCTGAGGAAGGATTTGGTATATTAGAGGAAATGAAAGAAGATAACTTGGAGTATGAACAAGGGAAAGAAAATGACAAGATTTAAATTGGGGAGGTGGCTCAGTCTTTTAGGAACCTGTAGGTTATGGTCAGGAGGTTGGATTTCCTTTCATCTTCTTTCCTCCAACTCTGTTATGTGACCATATACTTTGTTGTTCAAAAAGTGACATTCTTTTGAATGTAAAGGAGCACTAACTTGGATGGTATCCTGAGTTAACAGATGTAATCTGGCACTGTCCAATATCCTAATTGTAGACATAGATATGTAAAAATAGTGTAGATAAGTGGTTAATAGATGGATTCTGGATGCAGACTACCTTTAAATCTTGATTCTGTTTACTATCTATATAGCTCTGAAGCAAGTTACTTAATTTCTCTGTGCACTTACACAATATTAATAGGCACTTATTAATATTACTCAAATTTCTCATTTGTAACATGGGGAAATAATACCTTATTAGGGTTGTTGTGAAGATTAAATAAGATAATACATGTATCAAAACATAGTAGCTAGTATATAGTAAGCAGTCAGTAAATTCATTCTTTTAGCAAATGTTTATTGAAAGACTATTTTGTGCCAGCCATTATACTAGGCACTGAGGACAAAACAGTGAAGAAAATGTGGAGAAACAGATAATAAAGTAAAAATAGGATATAAGATGGTAATAAATGCAGTGGAGCAACATCAAGGAAGAGAGAATAAGATAGTGTAAGGGTAGCAGTGATACTACTGGAGGACATTGATTCGAAAGTTTAAGTAGTTTGATCTAGGGAGGTCTCACTGAGAAGGCAACTTTGGAGCAAAGCTCTGAAGGAGGTGAGGAATGGAGCCCTCTAAAACCCATTGCCATCGAGTCCGTTCCTACTCATAACAACCCTTTAGGGCAGAGTAGAACTGCCCCATAGGGTTTCCAAGGAGAGGCGTGTAGATTCGAACTGCCAACCTTTTGGTTAGCAGCTGAGCTCTTAACCACTGCACGCACCAGGAGCCCTCTAGTGCAAGTAATTCCACACATAGGGAATAGCACTGTGCAATGATGAGATGGGAAGCCATTAACTTAAAAAGAAAAAAACCCATTACCATCGAGTTAATTCCAACTGATAGTGACCCTATAGGACAGAGTAGAACTGCCCCGTAGGTTTCCAAGGAGCAATGGTTTATGTTTTAGAAGGATCACCAGTCTGTGGGTAGATGAGAGTGAAAGCAGGGAAACTAGTTGAAGCTATTGCAGGTCATTCAAATAAATGATGTTGGTGGCTTAGACCAGGATGGTATCAGTGGAGATAGTTAGCAATAGTTGGATTCTGAAACTAACTGGAGGTAGAACTGACGTGATTTCCTGATGAGTTTGATGTTGTATATAGGAGAAAAAGAGGAGTTAAAAGTTTTTAGCCAGAGCAACTGGAAGGATGAAGCTGCCATTTACAGAAATACAGGAAGAATAAATTTGAGAGTAAAGATTAGAAGTTCAGTTTTGGAATGTTTGAGATACCTATTAGACATTCTAGTATAAATGTTAGCTATTATTATTTATTATTCTACTTACTCATTGCTTATTGACTATCTCGTTATCCAACATTTCGCATTTACGACAATAGTAAAATCTGCTATCCAACTATTTTATGCGTTAATGACATATGTCTGGCAGTAACGAACGCCGAGGTGCGAGTCAAGAGTAATGTTGGTTATGATGGTTAAGGTTATGTGTCAACTTAGCTGGGCCATGTTTGTCAGTGGTTTGGCAGTTATGTAATGATGTAGTCATTCTCCACTTTGTGATCTGATGTGGTCATCCTCCATTTTCACATTATGCTGATTTTCACATGATGACCTGGTCTCTGGAACCTAGCCAGGTTGATAAATGAGGAGTGGCTGTAATTATCCTAGTAAGTGTTAACTACTAATCATTCTTTAAAAAATATTCATTGGCTTTGTGGTAAAGAATTTGCTTAGTTTTGGGGATAAAAATGGTAATAAACAATAGACACCATCCTTGCCCTTATGAAATTTATAGTCTGATGGGGAATTTAGGCATTGATCAAATAACCATATTGTTGGTATTTAATTTTTCCCTTTAAAAAAAAAAAGATTCCTAGAAAGAAGTAAAGATGACTTAACAAAAAAATTATCTGTTGATATCTAAATTTATTAGGTTATTGAGTTGCAGATAGTGAGGGAAACATGTACATTGATGTTTAAATATGTTTTCCCCCAGTAGACATATCTTCCTAAGTTTCTCTCTAAACAATGTCTTATTCTTAAAATTGATTAGCTTAGTTAACATGAGGGAATGAAACTTCGTGAATTCAGTTTTATTTGGATGAAAGGAGGTAGTTGTGTACTGAATCTAACATTTAAAAATATTGTGTATTTATGAAATATTTAGGCTGTTGGAAAATTCCCCTCTGTGTAAGAATGTTATGCTTTTACTTTTTTGTTAATTAGCTAAGGATCATTTGGGAATAGCATCATAATATGATCAGATATTCACCTTTTGCTCATAAAATTAAAGTATTAATAATAGTTTTTGCCTTTTAAAAATCAACAGGTTCGTCATAAGGCATCACAGAAAGTTTATGCTATGAAGCTTCTTAGTAAGTTTGAAATGATAAAAAGATCAGATTCTGCTTTTTTCTGGGAAGAAAGAGATATTATGGCCTTTGCCAATAGTCCCTGGGTGGTTCAGGTAAGCCTACAAACTTTCATGAATGTATTTTATTTTTCAGTAGGTACTTATTCATAAGAGTTGATTTTATGTGCTAAAAGTCTTATGCCTTGTTTACATAGTAACAATGCAGTTATATTTAATAATGACATGACATGTAGTAATTACTTAAATTGTTGTATGTTATAAGGAATTTAATTGGTCACTCCCTGCCCATCCCCTCTGGTGATTTCCTTAGTGGAGATACAATAAATCATTGCATCAGTTGGAAGATTATGTAAGTATTAACATTAGTTAGATGTTTATGTTGCATTAGACTATTTCTAAAAGGAAAAAAAAATTCCAACAATACAAATTTTGAAAATTCTCCTACAATCTTTTATATGTTATCTATAATGGAAGACAATACTGGGGCTCCTAATTCAGCTTCTTGTCTGTGGAGTAAGGAATTTTTTATTCTATTTTGCCTCCTTTTCCATTACATCCCTTATCAGCTTTGCTTCTCTAAAGAATTTTTTCATACTAGTATCTAGTTCTGCAAGTATTTTTTAACAAGTGTCATGAGTAAGAGTAGGCATATGGCAACCTACATTTAGAATGCTTGGATGATTGCTTGTAGAAGGCAATTTGGGGGTAGAAAATTTGCCACATCGATGACTATATAATTTAAAAGCTCCTAACTACCACTTTTTCCTCAGGTTGAGCCTCACATTGCCTCCACTAACACTTTTTTTATTGTAGCTAGTAAATAGAAATTCTGATGTGCAGCTAAAACTAAACATTTTGTATCAACTTATACCTACTCCTCACTTATTGGCTATCTCATTATCTGACATTTCTCAATTATGACAATAGTAAAAAAAAAATACTATCTGACTATTTTGCACATCAGTGACGTATGTCTGGCAGTGAAGGACTCCATGGTGCGGTGCACTGGTAATTAAACTAAAATGTTGCAATTCTATGATACATGACATGTGAAACACTATCAAGTTATAACTGTGTCAGTAGGATTTATTAGTATACAGAGCAGCTACAAAGCTGTGAAAGCACCACATATGGTCTTCCTTGCAGCTAGTCAGCTCTGCTATTGTAGCTACAAAGCAGCTATAGACATATGTAAAGGAATGAGTGTGGCTGTGTTTCAGTAAAATTTTATATGAATTTTACATGCTTTTCACATGTCATGAAATATTCTTCTGATTTTTTTCTCTCAGTTATTTAAAAATGTGAAGTCATTGTGAACTGCAGAAAAACAGGTGGTAGGCTGAATTTGGTCCATGGGTTAAGTTTGTCACCCATGATATATACTAATCTCCTCTACCTGCCGTTTCTTTCCCCCTCCTGAATTATATTGATGCAAATCCCGGATATATTATTTCATTCACTGGTATATCAAAACAAATATCTAAAAAAGAAAAACATTAAAAAATTTAATCCCAATATCATTATCAAACCTGAAATATTAACAGTAATTCCTTTATATTAGGTAGATCAGTGTTCACTTTCCCTCTGTTGTCTCAATTTTTTTACAGTTTTATTTGTTCAAGTAATGATATATTTTAGATCTATGAAAAAGTAGAGAGTTATATAATGAACATGCATATGTCTATCACGGGTTTAGAAAATTTTAACATTTTACTGTAATTTTAAGTTTTTTATTTTAAATACAAAACATCACAAAACTCTTGAAATACTTTGTTCTCTTACCCCAGTCTTTTTCCCTCCCTTCCTCCTAAGAGATAGCTGCTATCCTGAAATTGGTAAATGTCCTTCTTGTAGCTGGTGTCTTCACTTATTTATTGATTTTTAGTGGTGTAGATTTCTACCTTTTTAATTTCTTGTGTGATTGTTGACTATTCAGGTTTTCATTTACTTCTTGAGTCAGTTTATACTTTCCATGACTGTATCTGTCTTCTCTTACTTTTCAATGGAATGTTGTTGTTGGGTGTGGTTGAGCGAATGCCAGAGAATACCAGAAAGGTGTTTGCTTGTGTTTTATTGACTATGCAGAGGCATCTGACTGTATGGATCATAACAAATTATGGATAACATTGCGAAGAATGGGAATTCTAGACTACCTAATTGTGCTCATGAGGAACCTGTACATAGATCAAGAGGCAGTTGTTCCAATAGAACAAGGGGATACTGTGTGGTTTAAAGACAGGAAAGGTGTGCGTCAAGGTTGTATCCTTTCACCATACTTACTCAGTCTTTATGCTGAGCAAATAATCTGAGAAGCTGGGACTATACTATAATGGAGCATCAGAGGAAAACTCATTAACAACCTGCGTTATGCAGATGACACAATCTTGCTTGCTGAAAGTGAAGGGGACTTGAAGCACATATTGATGAAGATCAAAGACCACAGCCTTCAGTATGGATTACACCTCAACATAAAGAAAACAGAAATCCTCACAACTGGACCAGTAAGCAACATCATGATAAACAGAGAAAAGATTGAAGTTGTCAAGGATTTTATTTTACTTGGATCCACAATCAACACCCATGGAAGCAGCAGTCAAGAAATCAAAGGACGCATTGCATTGGGCAAATCTGCTGTAAAAGACCTCTTTAAAGTGTTAAAAAGCAAAGATGTCACCTTGAAGACTGAGGTGTGCCTGACCCAAGTCATGGTGTTTTCAGTCGCCTCATATGCATACAAAAGCTGGACAATGAATAAGGAAGACCGAAGAAGAATTCATGCCTTTGAATTATGGTGTTGCTGAAGAAAGTTGAATATACCATGGACTGCCAGAAGAATGAACAAATCTTTTGGAAGTACAGCCAGAATGCTCCTTAGAAGCAAGTATGGTGAGACTACGTCTCACATACTTTGGACATGTTATCAGGAGGGACCAGTCCCTGGAGAAAGACATCATGCTTGGTAAAGAAGAGGGTCAGAGAAAAAGAGGAAGACCCTCAATGAGATGGATTGACACAGTGGCTGCAACACTGAGCTCAGACGTAACAATTGTGAGGATGGCATGGGACCGGGCAGTGTTTCCTTCTGTTGCACATAGGGGCGCTGTGAGTCGGAACTGACTGGACGGCACCTAACAACAACAACAAACTACAAAACCATTTAAGTTGTTGACCTGTGTCCCATCACCCGCCGATATTTTAGCATGTATTTCCTACACACATTGTCCTTTATAACCATAATTACTGATTAATCCTCAGACCCCATTCAAATTTCACCAGTTCCCCGAATAGTGTCTTTTATATCAAGAGGATGCAGTTCCCAGTCACATTTCATTTGTCATATCTCTTTAGTCTCTTTTAGTTTTGAAAAGTTTCTAGCCTTCTCTTGACTTTCATGACTGTAACACTTTCGGAGATTATAGATTAATTATTCCTAAGTTTTGGGACAGTGTCCTTCAACTGAGTTTGTCAAATGTTTCTTCATGATTAGATTTAAGTTATACATATCTGTTAGGACTGTTTTAGAAGTGAGAGAGTCTGTGTTGTACTCATTGAATTCTGTTAGGTGGTGCTTGATTATAATGAGTAACATTAATGATAATGTTCACATTGATCACTTGTTAAGGTAGGAAGTTCCTCTTTTACAGTGTTGTAATTTTGTGGAGAGGTACCTTGAAACTATGTAAATATCCTGTTCCTCATTATTTTCCTTTCTTCCTCCCTCCCTCCTTCCCTCCCTCCCTCAACTCATGGTTTCCTATTTTAAAAAACAGGTGTAATCTATTATTATCATCATTAATTTGAATGCTCAAATTGCCCCTGATTTGGCAAGTGGGAACTCATTCAAGTTGGCTTCTATGACCCTTCAACTTGTTGCCATCATTCTTCGAGCATTCTGGCACAACAGAATGTTCTGAGTTTATCTTTTACTTACCCTGCTTTTGTTCTGGATTCAGCCATTTCTCTAAGAAACCCTGATTCTTTTTGGTTGAAAATAGTATTTAGAAGCCAAGACCTTGGTGTTAGTGTGCTCATGGCTATTGTGTCATTACTCCCAGGCCTTTTCAGTGGATTGTTACACACATGCGCATACACACATATGTACGTACACGTAAGACATATTTACAGATTTTTTTTTCTGTGTCTACTATATATATTGAAAGCCATGAGTTCACTCCAGTACTTCCAATTTCAGTCTGACTCCACAAGGCTCATTCTAGGTTTCTTCTTTCTTGTATTTGTAATTTTCTTCTCCAACTGTAGGTAACCAATCTCCCATCTTTGCTGCGCAATCCCCTTCCCCTATGAACTCTTCCTTTCTCTGCTTGGGCTCTGATTATCTATACCCTCCTTACCACTTTTGAGCTTTGACATTTCACACCAGGCTGCCCCTCTGCATGGATGTTTTCCTCACCCTGCTTGGCTTTGATATCCTGTGGCAGCCGTCCTCATGAATAAACACTCCTCCTCACTCTTGAGTACTGACACCCCATGTGTGACTTGCATTTTTTACTCCCTTAATAGTGTTTTGATGAATACAAATTTGTAATTCTGATGTAGTACAGTTTAATCATACTTTTATGTTTAATGCTTTTTGTGTTCATTTGAGAAGATTTTCCTTGCCTTGATGTATGAAGATAAATTCTATTATCTTCTTGACTTTTATAATTTTGTGCCTGTGATCAACCCAGAATTGAAATGTTTCACAGGTGTGATATAAGGATTAAGTTTTTTGTTTTGTGTTTTGACAGTTCAGCTTTTTACAGGTATATAACTTATTGGTAGCATTTAAATTAGTCAGCTGTGCAATCCTACATAAGGATTAAGTTTTATTTGTTTCCATGTGGATATCCAGTGGATTTCCATATTGAAAAAACTCTCCATTCCCCATTCGTCTACAGTCAGGGGGGATTAACCAGTAAGCAAGGTACACATGAGCTTACTTGTGCTTACATACTAATCCGTAGTGCACAATTTCACATGGGTTGGTGAAAAACAGGTGAAATTGTGCACTACAGATTAGTAAGTAAGCACAAGTAAGCCCGTGCATACCTTGCTTATTGGGGAATTCTTCCTTGTCTACAGTGCCTTTGTTTTAATTGTTCATATGCTCAGGAGTCTGTTTTAGACTTTTCTGTTCCATTCAGTTATTTTGTCTGTCCTTGTCACCAGTACCACAGTGTTTTAATTAGCTCTTTTTAACTGGCTTCATATTAATTGAACTTCTTAGAACTATGAGTTTATAGAGTTCATCAGATTAGGGAAATTTTTGGCCATTATTTCTTCAGATTTTTTTTTTTCTTGTCTCACCTCTTGCCCTGTTGTTCCCAGCCCTTTTCTTGGACTGTGGTTACACATACATTATCTACATCATGCTGTCCTGTAGGTTACTGATAACTCCTCTTCTCCCCCCCCCCATCTATTTATCTTACCTGCTTTGTTTGTATAGTTTTTATTGTTGTGCCTTTAAATTCATTGATTTTTTCTTCTACAGTGTACAATCTAACTTTGCTCCCATCCTGTATGACTTCTTTAACTCAGACAAATTGTTTTGAGATTTATCTGTGATGTAAGGTATATTAATCTAATTGTTCATTCCTTTTTATTGCTGAGTAATATTCCATTGCAGGGATATATGACAATTTGTTTATCTGTTCACCTGTTGATGGACATTTGGGTTGTTTTGTCTCTTAGAATAAAGCTACTTGCTAAGTTATTTGTGGATCAAATTGATTCTTAGAAGGCTTATTTATAAACTTTGTTTAAATTGCCTTTACTCTGATTGAAACTATATGTCTCTTTTCTATTTTAGTAGCTATGCTTAAAATTTTAACACATTTAAATTTTAAATTATGCACATTTAAATTTTTCATAACTTTATTGAAGTATAATTTCTTTACCGTACAATTCACCTGTTTTAAATGTATAATTCAGTAAATTTTTGGAAATTTGCAGAGTTGTGCAGCCATCACTACAGTCCAATTTTAGAACATTTTCATCATCCCAAAATGATCACTCATACCCATTTACAGTCATTCTTCATTCTTCTCCCAGCCCCTGGTGACCACCAATCTACTTTCTGTCTGTATAGATTTTATATAAATAGAATCATACCATATGAGGTCTTGTGCATCTGGCCTTTTTCTCTTAGCATACTGTTTTTGAAGTTCGTTCATACTGTAGCATGTATCATACTTTATCCCTTTTTATGGTTGAATAGTATTCCATTGTATGGATTTTTTTGTTTATCCATTTACCAGTTGATGGATGTTTGAATTTTTTCCATTTTTTGGCTGTTACGAATGATGCTGCTCTGAACATTTGCATACAGGTTTTTGTGTGGAAATATTTCATTTCTCTCGGGAAGGAGTATAGGGTTGCTGGATTGTATGGTAAATGTATGTTTAACTTTTTAAGAAATTATCTGTTTTTCTAAAGTGACTATCTCTTTTACGTTCTTACCAGCATATGTGAGGTTCTTGTTTCTTCACATTCTAGTCAAAAATTGATGTTTTCTGTCTTTTTAATTATGGCCATTCTGGTGGGTGTAAAGTGGTATCTCATTGGTGTTTTAAATTGCATTTCCCTAGTGACTACTGATATTGAAAATTTTTTCATGTACTTATTGGCCATTCCTATATCTTCTTTGGTGAAATGTCTATTAAAATTTTTTGCTCTTTTTAAAATTGGGTTGTCATATTATTGAGTTGTAGGAGTTTTTATGTATTTTATTTTTTATTGTGCTTTAGGTGAAAGTTTACAGCTCAAGTTAATTTCTCATTCAAAAATTTATATATATATATTGTTTTGTGACATTAGTTGCAGTCCCCACAATGTGACAGCACACTCCCGCTTTCCACTCTGTGTTCCCTGTTTCCATTCGACCAGTTCCTGACCCTTCTGCCTTTTCATCCTGCTTTTGGACAGGAGCTGCCCATTTGGTCTCGTATATCTGATTTAACTAAGAAGCACATTCCTCACGTGTATTGTTTTTTGTTTTATAGTCCCGTCTAATCTTTGTCTGAAGAGTGGACTTTGGGGATGGTTTCAGTTGTGGGTTAACAGTGTATCTGAGGGCCATAGTTTCAGGGGTTCCTCCAGTCTCTGTTAGATCATTAAGTCTGGTCTTTTTACATGAATTTGACTTCTGTTCTACGTTTTTCTCCTCTGTCCTCTGTCTCGGTTGTGTTCCCTGTCAGGGTGGTCATTGGTAGTAGCTGGGTACCATCTAGTTCTTCTGTTCTTAGGCTGGTGGAATCTGGTTCATTTGGCCCATTTGTCCTTTGGGCTAGTATTTTCCTTGTGTCTTTGGTTTTCTTCATTCTCCTTTGCTCTGAGTGGGATGAGACCAATTGATGTATCTTAGATGGGTACTTGCAAGCTTTTAAAAACCCTAGATGCCACTCACCAAAGTGAGATATAGAACATTTTCTTAATAAACTGCGTTATGCCAATTGACCTAGATGTCCCCTGATACTATGGTCCCCAGGCCCCAGCCCCAGCTACTCCATCCCTCAAAGTGATTGGATGTACCTAGGAAACTTTTTTGCTTTTGCTTTGGTCCAGTTGTGCTGACTTCCCCTTCTTTATATATTTTAGGTACAAGTTCTTTTTCAGATACATCATTCACAAATATTTCCTCCCAGTCTATGGTTTATCTTTTCATTTTCTCAATGGTGTTTCTTGAAGCCAGAAAATTTTAATTTTGGTGAAATCCTAGGAATCAGTTTTTCATTTTACCAATTGTGTTTTTGGTGTGTTGCATCTAAGAAATCTTGGCCTAACCCAGAGTCATGAAACTTTTTTCCTTTGTGTTTTCTGGAAGTTTATATTTTAACTCTTAAATTTAAGTCTATGATCCATTTTGAGTTAATTGTTTAGTACAGATGTCTAAGTTTATTTTAGATGACCAAATGATGTTCAAGCACCATATGTTAAAAAGGCTATTCTTTCCCCAATAAATTACCTTGGCATCTTTTTTTTTTTTAAATTGATCAACTGTAAATGTAAAGGTTTATTTCTGGATTCCTAATTCTTTATCATTGGTCTGTAGATCTGTCCTTATGCCAGTACCTATACTCTTGATTATTATAATCTTGTAGTTAAGTTTTGAAATTGGAAAATAGAAGTCCTGCTACTTTGTTCTGTTCAAGGTTGTTTTGGTTCTTCTTAGTCCTTCGCATTTCTGTATAAATTTTAAGATTACTTTGTTGATTTCTGGAAAAAACCTGCTTGAATTTAGGTAGGGATTACACTGAATCTGTTGATCAGTTTGGGGTGATTTGCCATCTTGATAATATTGAGCCTTCTTATCCATGAACATAGACTGTCTCTCCATTTATTTAGATCATTCTTTTGTCATTCAGAGTTAAACAGTATTTTCAATTTAGCAACCAATTTATAATGCTTTTCTATTCCTGTGGCTTATCTTAAGCAAGATAATGGGGAAGAGGAGAGAGAAAACAGCCCCATTCCAAATGTGGCTATCAGTTATTCATCCAGTAGTATGGAGCTTATTCTTTCTTCTTGTGTCCGTTAACTCTGGTACCTTTTATGTTTCTCTAACCTGCTCCTACTTCCTCAGTTCCTTTCTGTATGACTTAGGTGCTATAGTTTTATTATGTTTTGTTTTCAGAAGTCTTTTTTTTTCTGTTATAAATTTTATAATTTTTCACCATTTATGACCCTAATTCCTATTCTGTTTTTCTTTTAAAATGCTTCTGTCTAAATAGTTTCCTATATTGTGTTCTTTAATAGGAAAATGATTCATTTATGTGTATTTTGATAGTACTTGAAGAAAAGGTGCACATGTAAAAGTTTTGTCTGATAACTCTTTACCATGAAACATGTCCAAATCTAAAATAGAAGATTTAATAAATTACAGCCTTTTTGGTTTTAGAATAATTGGCCTTTTTCACTAGTAATAATTTTTTATTTCTGTTTGTTCATGTGTTGTTTTTGTTTTTATAATTTTTTCCTTTCCCTTTTGTTTTCTAGCTCTTTTGTGCCTTTCAAGATGATAGGTATCTGTACATGGTAATGGAGTACATGCCTGGTGGAGACCTTGTAAACCTTATGAGTAACTATGATGTACCTGAAAAATGGGCCAAATTTTATACTGCTGAAGTTGTTCTTGCTCTGGATGCAATACACTCCATGGGTTTAATACACAGAGATGTGAAGCCTGACAACATGCTCTTGGATAAACATGGACATCTAAAATTGGCAGATTTTGGCACATGTATGAAAATGGATGAAGTAAGTAAGCAAGTTAAAAAAAAGAAAAGCTAGCTTTGTTTTTTTTTTTTTGAGAAACAAAAATAAAAGAAACGCCTGAAATCAGAACATCAAAACTGTGTAACAACTGAAACGAGATAAAAAAACAACAGCAACAAATTAAAACATTTGCCTTACTAATGATTCAGCTAGCTTCAGTGTACATTAGTAGTAGACTTGGAGAATCCAAGAGAAATAAGAACTTGGATAACGTAAATCGTTATTTTCCTTATACAGTGTTGACAAGCATTTGCTACCAATCAACACTAGTCTATGTGTTTAATGATCTAGCTAAAGAAGTAGGACACAAAATATAAATTAAGTTACATCGGTTTTTCCATACACTTTTCCTTTAAAAACAGAGATAAGGTAAGAAATCTGTGTTACCACCTCCTACCCACCCCATTTGCATCAACCACATAGAATAATTCTGGGGACATCATCTATTGTGATACTTTAGTTGTTGAAGCAATTCATATTGTGTTTAATAGGTAGTAGTAGTAACCTTATAGCTAAGTATGATGTTGATTTATTTTTGTTGCAAAATTTATATCTCTTGTCTTTTCTCTCAGACTATAATTCCCAGATAGGCAGGGATCATGTTTTATTTCTTTTGTATTCCTCTGTTGAATCTAGGAAGTGATTTACATATATTATGTTTTCTAAATGTTAAAGTATATTGATAGCAAGCAAACTGGATCTTATTCTTTGTATGGTCTTCATAACCTTCCAGTATACTTGAGTAGCTAATTTCATTTTTTCTAGTTACCTAGTGAAGACCTTTATTTTTTAGTTAAGCTTATTTTATTTTCTCTTTATCTCTTAATTTAGTCATGCTACTTGTGTAACATTCACTTCTATTGATTTCTCTAGTTTGATCAGCAGTCCATCTTCTTCCAAGCTCAGCTCAGATTTTACCTCATCTAGAAAGTTCTCCCTGATAATCCTTACTGACTGATCACTGTTAGAATGCCATCATGTCCTGTTGCTTATCCAAAATTTGTGTTATACTTTATGGGCCATTTTTGTCTATCTTTGGTTTGTATGCCCTGTTTACCCAGGTAAACTTAACATCTTGTTACCTTTTTGGTCTTCATAGCGTCTGTTAGTATGTTCTGCATACGTTAATCAGTGCTTAGTAGATGGAGTTTTTGATTGTACCCATAGCTCCCTCTTGTGGTGGATAGCATAATATAGTATGAAATTAACAGTGAAAATTATCTTTAGTGAAAGTAAAGTATTATATAATTTTCTTATATACTCTAAACTCTTTCATTTCCTGGTGTACCTTTGCTCAATTACTTCTACAGAATTTACTTATTTATATTTAAACTAAAATAACTTCTATTCTCTATTTGCTGTATACTTGGAAAAATAAAGTCAATGAGTTATTTCTGCTAATTTGAGGAATAAAAAGATTGTTTTTAAATTAATTTTCAATACTTAACACAAGTTTTATAGCCCTTAGGTAAAGACATTTACCTGAATCATGTTTATAAAATATATTGAACTTCTTTTCCCAAGGTGATCATAATACTTAGACAGTATTTTGGTAGTTTTTATAGCCTTAGATGAATGTAAGTAACACTCTCTTTACTGGTCAGGTAAGAAAAATGAAGGGCATTTAAATTAATCTATAAAATCTCTACAAGTTTGGACACAGCTAGAGGTGAAGGAGTATTATTTAGCACTATACTACTATAGTGATTTAATTTTGCAGCATATACACACACATTCACTCACACACACAACTAATTGTAATGGTTCTCATCCTTGTCAAAAAAAAACATCACATAGGGATTATCTTATTGCTTACTGAAACTGAACACAGATAAAACCCATTACTGTTGAGTCAGTTCCGAATCATGATAACCCCATGTGTTACAGAGTAGCACTGCTCCATAGGGTTTTCTTGGCTATAATCTTTACAGAAGCAGATTGCCAAGCCTTTTGTCTGTTGTGCCATGGGTGGGTTCAAACCACCGACCTGTAGGTTAGTAGTTAAGTGCAAAACATTTGTACCACCCAGGGTCATTCAGCCACAGATAAAGATGTTTTTTATCATCTTGCCAAATATATTGATGCCATAGCTCCATATTTCTAAATATATAACTTGATGTAACTTTCAAACTGGTAAGATCTTTTAATTTAAACATTGGATCCATTACTCCCATTTTTCTTTGATAGAATAAGAAGGATAAAGAACCAAGTTCTTTATCCAGCCTCCAATCCAGGGCGCTATATAATCTTGATTGCTTTGTTTTCTTTGGAAATATCAAACCTTCCTTTCTTTAATGATTCTTTTGTGAGAATCAGATGCCTTAGACCACGTTTTGTACTTTAGAGAGGAGTCTCAGATAATGACAATGCCAGTTTCTACTCAACAGTTACATTAAACCATTGTAAACACACAAGCCTCCACATAGACTTGGGGAATAGTTTGTCTCACTGATTTCGTCCTTTCCATTTGACAGTCGTCTCTTGAAATTCAGGTTCAGAATCTGTTTAAAATGCAACATATTACTAGTTATTTTAACTGTGATACAATAAATGTGCTTTAAATGAATTAAAATGTATAATATAACTAAGCAAATATAGTACATCCCTATAGAATTTAGAAAGTAATTTAAAATTACAAAGACCACTGGCCCAAAATTAAAACAGCCCGTGTCCCAGGAAATTTTACATATAAAATTCAGATGATCACGCTGCTGACGTCAAAGGCAGAAAATGTCAGGCGCAGCAGGGTAAATGAAGAGAAAAGACTGCTTCATGGTATTAGCCAGATCAGTGAAATACTTGCAGAGATAAAGGGAGGCAGACAGCTACACGAATAACAACAGCAACAAAAGACTAAACTACTGTTTTAGATTTCCTGATTTGTACTTGTAACTACTTCATAGTGTAAGAAAAACAAAATATGTTAATTTACATGGAATTCCTATGGAGTTTACCACCTTTTCCTTCTTTTTTTGATGAAGGCTGCTGTATTTTACAGTTGGAAATTTACCCCTAATCTCATAATTCAGACATTTTTATGTATTTCGTAATACATCTATCCCCTGTCCTCCCAAAGCCGTGTTAGTAATGAAGTTCTTTTGGGAGCAACATGTAGTCACTGTATGTCTAATAGTAAATGAATTAGGTATGTGTGTGTGTATGTTTACACTGATCTGTTTTTCTTTATCTCTCCTATTTACCCAGACAGGCATGGTGCATTGTGATACAGCAGTTGGAACACCTGATTATATATCACCTGAGGTTTTAAAGTCACAAGGGGGTGATGGTTACTATGGGCGAGAATGTGATTGGTGGTCTGTAGGTGTTTTCCTTTTTGAGATGCTGGTGGGTAAGTAAGTATTTTAACTTGCTATTTAGTTAAAATGCTTCTCATAACATTTTAATGCTAAGTCAAGAATTTGAGAATATGAGGAAATTAATGGCCTATGTTCTAGGAGACACGTGGAATTTCTGGAGACTCTCAATTAGTAGAGTCTGATAGGACAGATTGTTAATTTTAAACTAATATCAAGCCTCATACTGCGACAGTGATTAAGTAGAACGTAAAAGGAATTGAAAGTATACTGCTAGGAAATATTCCTCCAGTAGACCTTCTTCTGTGAAGAAAATGTTAGAAAAAGAAGCAAGTTTACAGCTGCACTGGGCCTCCACTCTAAGATTTTTTTGATCTACGGTATTCATTGTAATGTTTTACATGTAAGGCTGTTAATATTTCTTTCAGTAGTAATAAAGAAGTAAAAGTACTCTTTATGCAATTACGTTATGGGTGGCATAAACAATTAAGGCACTTGACTAGTAGCCTAAAGGTTAGTGGTTCCGAACCACCCAGAGGGGTCTTGGAAGACAGGCCTGGTGATCTGCTTCTGAAAGGTCGCAGCCTTGAAAACCCAATGAAATAGTTCTACTCTGCACATATGGGTTTGCCATGAGTTGAAATCGACTTGATGGCAGCTAACAACAACAACAAATTGAATTTTTAAACTGTATTTCTTCTGTTTACTTCTCATATAAATATTTGGTTTGTAATTCCAGTGAAATGAGTCATAAATATACTTATTGAGCATTTGACTACCGAGATAAATATGTTGTTATTGTTGTTAGGTGCCGTTGAGTCGCTTCTGACTCATAGCAACCCTATCTGTGTACAACAGAATGAAACACTGCCTGGTTCTGCGCCATCCTCACAATCGTTGTTGTGCTTGAGCCCATTGTTGCAGCCACTCTGTCAGTCCATCTCGTTGGGGATCTTCCTGTTTTTCGCTGACCCTCTTGCTTTACCAAGAATGATGTCCTTCTCCAGGGACTGATCCCTCTTGATAATATAAAATATATATGTATATTATTTATAATACAAATATATAATATATACAAATATATTTTATAATAAATCAGTTTCAGGAAACTCGGAGGCAAATGTAATAATAAGATCTTCTATTTTGATCAAATCACAATTTTAAAGGATCAGGTATTTCAGAATTATTCTTTACATCATATATTTCTTTCCTAAGATTTCCCATTCCAAGTACTAGGGTCACAAAAGTATCTTCTGGCTAAGAAGCCAGTGACTGAATTGCATGGCTTGGGGATGAGGGAAGAAGGTGTAGCTAAATGTACTTTTTGAGGCAAGAGTGGTAAAGCTAATTATATTGTATGGATGACTTCAGTTGAAAATTGGAAAATTTATTTTCTAGATAACCCCTTAAAGAAATTGATAGTGGAAAATCTGTAAAATCTGTGATAATAGAATGTTTGTTGATTAAAACAAAACCAGAAATTTTTGGTACATCTCAAATTTAGGTAATGATTAGTCATGGAACTTTTTTTGTGGCATAAGATGTCAGTGACCATTTTGTATATGTCAGTCTTGTTATGCTTAGTCTCATGTCATAGTATGTTCCCCTTTGTTTTGGGCCTTTGTAATGGGTCTCTTTGTACACATCGTGTGTTCCCAGGTAACTATTTATCCTCCTCACCTCTGGCCTGATCTAATGATGCCTTGGATTTTGTCTTGTAATCTTTTAAAAATAGAATATAATCTTTCATTTGCCTAGGCTCTCCTTCTAGAGTTTTAGAGAATAATGCACTTTGGAGTAAATAATTTGGCTCATTTGAAGAGGCTATTTAAATTCCTGCTATTTTCAACTCTGAGAACTGAATTTAATGAATTTGAATGGCAGTAATTTGCAGTATTCTGAGCTTGGTCTGATGCTTGCTTAGGTTGGTTGGCACTGAACTTCATTTAAAGGACTCTATTGCAGTTAAAAATGGCACCAGAAGAATCTTAGATTCAAAGCCCCCTTTCTCCCCCTCTAAAACAAAAAAAGAAGGAAAGAAACACTAATTACCTGAATACGCCTTTTGAAGTTTTGGATCATTGGCTGAATTGAGATAGTCTGGCTTGTGCTGAAACTGCTTGTAGTGAGTCATACTGTCAGGGCCTTTAACCTTTGTGGTTTTAGATGAGTACTGGCCATAATGGTGCCTTCAACTTTTTCTGTCTTTGTACTTGCTTCAGTGCCTCTTTGTCAGTCATTGGTCAGCGATATCGAGAAACAAAGGAGCCCTGGTGGTGCGGTGGTTAAGCACTTAGCTGCTAGCCGAAAGATTGGCAGTTCGAACCCACCAGCTGCTCTGTGGAAGAAAGATGTGACAGTCTGCTTCCATAAAGATTACAGTTTTGGAAACCCTATGGGGCAGTTCTACTCTGTCCTAAAAGGTTGCTATGAGTTGGAACCGACTCAACGGCAATGAATTTATTGAGAAACAAATTTCTGCCCTTTTCAGCTCTAGCTATGTGCCATCTTAGGCAAGTCATATGTCATTTCTGGGCCCAGCTTTCTCATGTAGAGTAATAGGCTGGTCTAACTCTTAGAGCAGCACTGTCCAGTCTGTGATGATGATAACGATTTACACCTGTGGTGCTTAGTGCAGTAACCACTAGCTACATTGAGCACTTTGAGTGTGGCTAGTATGATTAATGAACTGAACTTTTTATTGTAATTAATTTAACTTTAAATTACTACATGTGGCTAGTGGCTACTATATTGTACAACACAGCTCTGGAGAGTAATGTCAACAGACTGATCCAGCTGAAGCATTCTAGCACTCCACTTAGTAATCTTTCTTTTCAACTATTCAGTAAATTGTTCCCCCCCGATTTAAAAAAAAAAAAAATTCTAGAGTTAGCATTGCTGTCATTTTGCTTTTAATGATTGGTAGTGTGGTTAAAACTAAAATATATTCTGGGTGTGTGTTTGTTTTGACTGAAACTCCTGGTCTACAGACCATTCATTCATTTTTCTCTTTGAGACAAATTTTAACAATATATTTCAACATTAGGTGAAAAGTATCTAATTTGAATTTTCTTACACTTGATGTCTTCTTGGAATTTTAGGGGATACTCCATTTTATGCAGATTCACTTGTAGGAACATATAGCAAAATTATGGATCATAAAAACTCACTATGTTTCCCTGAAGATGCAGAAATTTCTAAACATGCGAAGAATCTCATCTGTGCCTTCTTAACAGATAGGTAATATGTTCAGTTTCTTTGTAGAGAAGCCCTTTTCCTTGTATATTGTAGAAATGAAAGCATACTTAACTCTTATTTACCTATGAAATCAATCAGTTTCTTTCTTTCTTTCATTATTCAAGTTGCATTTAGTTCTGGGTTAGCCTTTTCCTAGTGCTAAGCCTGGTCTTGGGTTATGCTCATCATTTTGTGTGTGTAGCCCAGTTGTAATGTAATTCTAGCTTTAACCCTCATGTCTAAAAAAGAAAAGTAGCACTTGATAAAGTAATGTATTTGAGAGAAATATAACTTCTGTATCGTTCACATTTTACTGTTTAAAGTGGTTAATCCATATTACTCCTGATTAACTTTTGATGGGGGAGTATTTTGTACATTTAAATACTCAACAGATTTTAATCTTTTTTTAAAAATAATATTTTATTGTGTTTTTGGTGAAGGTTTACAAAGCAACTTAGATTCCCTTTCAACAGTTGTACACATATTGTCAGTAACATTGGTTATATGCGATTTTAATCTTAAAAATTATTTGTGCTTGACTTGGGAATGCCTTCTTCCCAACCCTGTTTATTTACATTTGAATATGAGCGAGTCTGGTCTGGAAATGTTATATTTTTTTTAAAACAAAGTAGGGAACAGGGTTGTGAAAACCTACCTCAAAAAGAGAAACTAGAAAGCTGTTTAGTTCTTATCCCTTGGCCTCTCTATTCTTTTCCATTTTCCCATTTTTTATTTGTGATAAGAGTTATTCTATCAAAGGATCTTTGGGAAATTATTTACTTTTCTGGGAACTAATTTTAATCACCCATAAAACGACACAATCAGATGAGAGAACTAAGGGCTTTGCTAGTTCTAAAATCATGCAGTTCCTCAGCACACCATATTGTTTGTCAGCCAGTTGTCATAAACAGTGGATAGCCCCATATATTCATCCTTGTATATGTCTTGTAGGATCAAATCTTTAAGGGGGAATTCTGGGATATACTTAAAATTGATTGATGTTGCGTAATTGACCACTAGAGAAGTTACATCAGTGTATGTTTCTATTAACAGTAAATGTTTCCTCACTCTAATCAAACTGAATATTACAAGTTTTTTTCTTTTTCCATTTGAGGAAAGAAAAGTTATTTTAGCTTTCTTCTTTAGAAAGGTTAACCATTTTTATATGTTTATCAATAATTTGTAGTTTAGAGCTTTAAAATCTGTTAATTATGTGATTAATGAACAATTTATGCCATTAAACTCAAAACAAAACTTGTATAATGTTTGCTTTGTAGAAAAGATGGGATGGTGGTACTGTAAAATCATAATTTGTGCTGAATAGCAAATTATAAAACAGGATGTTGTATCTGTTAACGAAAGGGGTATTATTCATTAAAGATTTGCTTTAACAGTTTTTTAGGAGGGAAAAATCTAAGGAATGATTATAGGTGGAGAACAGATATTTGGAAAGTAATTTAATGCCATAAACGTGGCCAGGAGCACTTCCCTCTAACATCTGCAGGTTTTCCTGTTTATATTAAACAGCTCCAGGGGTATATATAAAACAGATGCTCTCTATTTCCGTACCATCTTCGCAGAAGACTCAGAAGGTCAAAACATGAAATTCTTAGTAATGTTTTTCTTGTATTCAGAATGATAATTTTAATATATAGATACATAGATATAATTTATCAGAGTAAATATGGAAAGTTTCACACATAATATGAGGTTTTTTTTTTTTTTTTTAAAGAGCTTTTTAAATATTTTTATTAGAGAGGTTTTAAATAACTCTTCTGTGCCAAAAGTTAGCCCTCTGACCATTTATGCCCTAAAGTTGGTCCTGTGGTTATGGCACATATAGGTAATTTTTTATTTAAAGTCTTACGTGTACATTCTTTTGACACAAACTATGGTTAGAAGTATATTTCACTCCCCATAGTATGTACCTATACATCACAGTCTTTTTAATCTATCTAGTGGTATCACATACCTTGAAATTGGGACTGCTTATTTTTGAGAAACATTTAAGCTGAAGCTTTTTATAAAAATATCTCAAGTCCACTTGTGATCTTTATTTTTATTTAACTGTTAAGGTAAGAGTTAATATATATTTTTTCATAATCTTATTTTTTATAATGCAATCTTTAACTGCATTTGTTTAGGGAGGTACGACTTGGGAGAAATGGGGTAGAAGAAATCAAACAGCATCCTTTCTTTAAGAATGATCAATGGAATTGGGATAACATAAGAGAAAGTAAGTCAGTAAATGTAAATACTTCCATCCCAAGACATTGTAAATCTCATAAATTGATTCCTCTTTTGAATTAGCAAGAATATTTGGTATTATTAATGCTAACTCATTTTTAAATTCAGAGACTTCATTTCACATTTTTGTGGCTGTATTATAACTGAACAAAGTAGTATATATATTAGCAGTATTTCTCAATACTTCCATAATAGACATTATATATTTCTTAATTTGTCAAGTTAAGTTTTGTGGATCTTGATAATCTTCAGAATGAGATATACGTAATTCTGATTAATCAACAGTTAATTGTTTATGGAGACCATTCTCTGTGGTGAACATTATGATAAGCATAGCAATTCATATTTACTGTATGTATACTTGACGTCGATTTATTTTAACGGTAAGAAATATTTCTACTTAAAGAATGTGGAAAACTGAAGGCTCTAAATAATGTATGCGTACGTTATAGCTGCTTGTAATTTTCACACCTAGAATATTACATTGCTTCTGTGTTTAATTGATTTATCTATATTTAAAACTGATTTAATGTAATAAAGTACTTAAAAATTTTATTCTTTGAAATGATACAATGGAAGCTATGTTACTGAATTTTTATATCATAATAAAACAAAATAGTTGAAAATACGCCAGCTGTTATTATTTTGTATAGAGTTGCTGTATCATGGGAAATGGAAGGGGTGGTTTGTATCTTGTATTTTGATTATGAATGAAATAATTCATTTCTTTTAATAGCTGCAGCTCCTGTAGTACCTGAACTCAGCAGTGACATAGACAGCAGCAATTTTGATGACATTGAAGATGATAAAGGAGATGTAGAAACCTTTCCAATTCCTAAAGCTTTTGTGGGAAATCAGCTGCCTTTTATAGGATTTACCTACTATAGAGAAAATTTGTATGTGATTCATTTATTAAATTTTTATTGTTTTCAGAATCTAGCTATAAAGAGATGCTTTGTAGACTCTAGATTATAGAAGATGAAGTGTTAATTTGTTTTAAATTTTGAGATTTTTCAAAAGGACTATTAGAAGAGTTATTTTTCATTTTATTTCATTATTTCTTAATGTTATAGCATATTAATTTGCCAAATGAATGCAAGGCACTGTTGTATATTCTTTGGGAGATATAGAGTAAGGCCAAATACCTGCCTTTGAAGAGTCTTGTCATTTAATGAAGGATATAAGATAATTATATTGTCATAAAGAACAGTAGAATGATACTTGACATAACAAAAGTACCAAAAAATATCTAAGATGGTTCAGAAGAAATAAAAGTCACATCTCTTTTGGGTAAGGTTAGTGAGAAATCAGGTAAGACCTCAGGAAGGGGTAGCATTTAGCTGAATTGAAAGATAAGAAGGGGTTTTGACTGGCAGAGAGGTGGGGAAACTAGAGAAGAGATGGGGAGAGGGAAAATAGTGGAAGCAAAACTTTGGGATGAAAGCAGAAGAGTGTAGTCCAGTAGGGCTGAAGCATAGGGTATGTGCTACTGTATTATGACCGTTGAGGGGATTTGATTAAGACTGTAATTTTCTTGCCTGTAATCCTTGCATCCAGCACAGGACCTGGCACATGGTCATTGAGTAAATATTGGTCAAATGAAGGGAGAATTGGATAAAATGAGAACATAGTTTGGAGTTAGAGTTCAAGGGAAGAAAAATGCAACGTGATTTTTGTATGTAATGCTAGGGGACTTTTGACTTTATTTGATAGGCAGTAAGGAGCCAGCTGACAGCTGTTAACAAAGCATTAAAGACATTTGAAAAACATATATGTGAGAAACTTTTGGTATATTCATGTTTATAATGATTAGGGTGACTGCCCATCACAGTTTGCCAAGGACGGAGGGGTTTCCTGGGACATGGGACTTCAAGTGCTAGAATGGGAAAATCCCAGGCACACTTGGATGAGTTGGTCATCCTAGTAATGATAATGTTCTAAAAACTATAGTAATGCTGACCCAAATGAAAAGATCAGAACCAGGAGAAACTCCTGCATGTTCTAGGCAGTGAGGAAGAATTCGGTTGAGAGAGAGAAACTGATACTAAATAGAAGCATTAAGACATCAAGAGATGATATCCTTGAAAAGGAGAAGCAAGATGTCTTTAGAAGATTGAGGAGAAGAAGAACAGAATAATTACAGAAACTCAAAATGAGTTGAAGACTCATTTTAGTGACTCTAATGTTAACAAAGTTAAAGACTAGATCAGCTGATTAAGAGTAAGAGGCAAGAAAGACTTAGCATTTTAGATTATTGAAAATGGCATCAATGTCTAAAGAGAAAAATATTGCTTTATTTAAAATACATTGAAACGAAAAGAAAGAAATCTTCATGGTTGAACTTTAATTCTGAGAATAACTTGGTTGAATAAGACTGAGAAAAATTGATTAAAATGACGTGATACAAAGAAATTCACCCCCCCCCCTTTCTTTTAGGTTATTAAGTGACTCTCCATCTTGTAGAGAAAATGATTCAATACAATCAAGGAAAAATGAAGTATGTATAAATTTTTACTACTTAAGATATTTTAGTCACATGTTCAAATATTTTAGTAATATCCATATAGAAAAACACGTTCATTTGATGTCACTTTTTGAGTTATTAGGTGACATTCCTGGTTGCAATACAGTTCAGCAAAATGTTGAAAAAATTGATTTATTTGATAACTATCCTTTTGTAAGACACAAGGGCTAGTGAAAAAATGAATTACACTTGGCTTTAAGCTTAGTTTCTCAGCAAAAGTGATAAAATACCTTCATAAACAGGTATAATACCAGTTAGAAATTTTTATAATCTTAGTGCTATAAAAGAATACAGATTTTAAGCTGTAAGGGTACATGGATTGGAGATTCAAATTCTTTATGAAGTAATATAAAGGATAATTTTGTTTATCGAACTGTTACATTATTTTGTGACTTCTATAGTTTATAATTACTGGTGATTAGAATGTGAAAATTGGAAATGAAGAAACATCAGTAGTTGGAAAATATAGCCTTGGTGATAGAAATGACACCAAGATTGTATGATAAGAGTTTTTTAAGACCAATGACTTCGTTACAAATACCTTTTTTCAACAACGTAAACAGCATCTATAGACATGGACCTTGACGGATGGAATACACAGGAATCAAATCGAATATATCTGTGGAAAGAGATGATGGAGAAGCTCAAAATCATCAGTCAGAACAAGGCTTGTGTTTTATTGACTGTGCAAAAGCATTTGTGTGGATCATAACAAATTATGAATAACATTATGAAGAACGGGAACTCTAGAACACTTAATTGCTCATGAGGAACCCATACATAGACCAAGAGGCATTTGTTCAAAAAGAACAAAGACATATTGCATGGTTTAAAATCAGGGAAGTTATGTTTCAGGGTTGTATTCTTTCACCATACTTATTCTTTCTGTATGCTGAGCAAATAATCTGAGAAGCTAAACTATATAAAGAAGAATGTGGCATCAGAATTGGAGGAAGATGCATTATCAACCTGCAATATGCAGATGACTCAACCGTGCTTGCGGAAAGTGAAGAGGACTTGAAGCACTTAGCGATGAAGATCAAAGACTTCAGCCTTCAGTATGGATTACATCTCAACATAAAGAAAACAGAAATCCTCACAACTGGACCAATAAGCAATGTCATGATAAACATCAAATAAACAATCATGATAAAAGATTGAAGTTGTCAAGTATTTCATTTCACTTGGATCCACAATCAGTGTCCATGGAAGCAGCAGTCAAGAAATTAAATGACATATTGCATTGGGCACATCTGCTGCAAAAGACCCCTTTAAAGTGTTAAAAAGCAAAGATGTCACTTTGAGGACTAAGGTGTGTCTGACCCAAGCCATGATATTTTCAGTCACTTCATATGCATGTTAAACTGGACAATGAATAAGGAAGACCAAAGAATTGATGCCTTTTAATTATGATGTTGGCAAAGAATATTGACTCTACCATGGACTGCCAGAAGAATTAACAGATCTATCTTGGAAGAAGCATAGCCAGAATGCTCCTTAGAAGTGGTGATGGCAAGACTTTGTCTCATGTACTTTAGACAAGTTGTCAGGACGGACCAGTCCCTGAAGAAGGACATCATGCTTGGTAAAGTAGAGGGTCAGCAAAAAAGAGGAAGTCCCTCAATGAGATGAATTGACAAAGTGGCTGCAACAGTGGGCTCAAACATAGCAATGATTGTGAGGATGGCACAGGACCAGGCAGTGTTTTGTTCTGTTCATAGGGTCGCTGTGAGTCAGAACTGACTTGATGGCACCTAACAACAACAACCACCACAAAAAGAACAATTGTTTATAATTACATATAAAGCTAAATCACACATAAAGTAGAATGCTAAAATGTTTTTCCCTTCTACATTTGGAAAACTAAAAATGTAGGTTGGATAATCAGTATAATTTATGTGTTTTAGAAATTTTATGGAACATAGCAAGCATTTTAATTTTTTTGTTTTTTGTTTCTAAACAGGAAAGTCAAGAGGTATGCTGACATTTTCAAATATGTTGAAAAACTGAGAAAAACTCGTCATTCTAGCAGTGCTTAAAATATAGTCATATTCCATCTAGCATTTGAAGTACTACATCCACCCAGGGAGACGTTCCCAACCATTTTTTCTACCAAGTATCCTTTTTACTATTACTCCTGTGGATCTGTTGTTTAAAATATATATTATATAATTTTCTTGTGTTTTTTAATCTGAGGCTATGTAACTGTCAGGAAGAGCTTCTGATTCACATATGATAGCTAGTATGATTACATTATACTAATGCAGTATCAAGCAAAAGCAATTAAACTTGACTAGTTCATTAACTAAGGAGCCGTGGTGGTGCAAACAGTTAAGTGCTTGGTTGCTAACTGAAAGGTTGGCGGTTGAACCCAGGGGCTTCTGGAGAGAAAAACCTGAGAGTCTGCTCCTGTAACGATTACAGCCTAGGAAACCCTGTGGGGCAGTTCTGCTCTGTCACATGGGGTCGCTATGAGTCAGAATCAGCTTGACGGCACCAAACAACAACAGCTCATTAACTTGTATATCCTTATTATGGGAAGATACAGTTTTACTTAAGATGTATGAAATATTTAAAACTGTGGTGAACTTAATCATTAGCAGGAATAGTGGAAAGAGCACTGGCATTGTTGTCTGATAGAACTGGGTTGATTTTGGCATTGACAGTTATTAGCTATGCTGTGTTGGCGCAGTTAGTCACCCTTTCTGAATTTCACTTTCTTTATCTAGTAGGTATAATGCTATCTTCTTCTTAGGGCTTTTGTTAGAATAAATGAGACAACATTTATAAAGTGCTTAATACTGTACCTTACACACAACTTGAAATAAAAAATTATTTATAAAGATGATAATGTTCTAAGAATAGATTATTTAATAGTTTCTGTAATTTTAGTTTGTTTAAACACCTGCATAGCTAGGCAAAGTTAATAAGGAGGTATTTGCAGTTAATTAGCTGTAATTTGTTCAGAAGAGTTTGTGATTACAACTCTCTTCAGAGTATTATGCCAGGAAGTACTGTGCTGTTGTTAGTTGCTGTTGAGTTGGCTCCAACTCATGGTGACCTTATGACAGAAGAAGAGTTTAGATTCTTATTTTTAAGAAAAGTAAAATAATTTTGAGCATGTTCAGTCAAATATTCTGTATATTTGCTTCAGATGTTGAGTTTTTTATCTTCATCTTGTAAGCACAAATAGTGACAATATTTTCAAATAAATAATCTGTAGAAGAGCAATGAAAGATACCAGAGACTGTATCCTTTATAAAGAATTTGAAACTCAGTGTCATTGAAAAATTCTCATTCCTAAGTTCACCTAAATGTGTTCATATATACATGTGTGATGTGATAGGGAAAAAGCAAGAGATGGAGTGTTTTTTTCTCCTTCTATCAAGAAAAGTGTTAAAAAAGGTTGAGATGATATCATTGTAGAGGAAATTATATTAAAAGACAAAAGAAGTTTATCATTGTTTTCTTTAAATATCAAAACTTATAATTATAGTTTCTTGTTTTCTGACAGATTCAGAAAAAACTCTACGCATTAGAAGAACACCTTAGCAATGAGATACAAGCCAAAGAGGAACTAGAGCAGAAGTGCAGGTATGTTTTAAAGACAATTAAATACTATATTTAAAATTTAAAAGTTATAAGTTTGATAGCTACAAAGGAAGAGCTACAAAGTAATTAAACAAGTATTTAAAAATGTATATTATATTTTTAAATTATTTAAAAATCTGTATCATTGTAAATTAGGAGAGAGTTATTGACTGTTTCTTTTGAAATTCTTTAGATCTGTTAATACTCGCCTGGAGAAAATAACAAAGGAGCTAGAAGAAGAGGTAAAGCTGCCACATGCTTTTCTGTTCTTTCATTAACAATTTTGTTAATAAAAATTTTTGATGTCTTTTGATGTCTGATTCACCCACAGAGTTCTGTTAGTCCCATGGTAATTCATATCTCAATATATAGTAAAACCCGTCTTATAGCATTGGTGGACAGCAGTAAAAGTATAAGGTAACAATGTTATAATAGGCTTCATTCTGTTATGTTTTTGTAAACCTAAGTTAGTTTAGTGTGTGTAGATATTTCATATCTATTTCATAATATAATAATGGTTTAAAAACAAAGTTACCATTGTTTCTTTTTTTTAAAATACTAATTATGACATTTTAGACCTATAATTAATATTAAATAATAATTGTTCAGTGGTGATGGAAAATTATAGAAAGTTTGACTTTCATTAGGAAACAAAATATTATGGTCTTGACTATTTGAGTAGTGTGTATTTTAAAAACATGGAGAAAATTATTGTAGTTTTAACAAGAAAGCAATTTTAGTTGTTTTTTTTTTAAGGTCTTTTGCATGTTTGAAGTAATTCAGATATTTTTTTATTTGATTTTTATACATACTTTCTTTTGATCATAACCTTAAGTATTATTTTAGGTTACCTTAAGGAAAAATGTGGAATCATCATTAAGACAATTAGAAAGAGAAAAGGCGCTTCTTCAGCACAAAAATGCAGAATATCAGCGGAAAGCTGACCATGAAGCAGAGAAGAAACGAAATCTGGAAAATGATGGTTTGTGGTGTAGAATATTAAATGCTTATGAAGAAAAAAATTCACTGGTGTGTGTGTCTGTGTGTGTGTCTGTGTGTCTGTGAGTGTGTCTGTGTGTCTGTGTGTCTGTGTCTGTGTGTGTGTGTGTGTGTGTGTCCATCCGTGTCCCTGACACTGAAATGGTTTTTATCATAGTTAACAGCTTAAAAGATCAACTTGAAGATTTGAAAAAAAGAAATCAGAGCTCTCAAATATCCACTGAGAAAGTGAATCAACTCCAGAGACAAGTAGGTTGATCTCAATTCATAAAAAGGATATTGAATTTTATTTATGACTGCCTGTTAATATTAGTTTTAATTGGCAATGTTACAGAAGACCTTGGTAATTTTAGAAATACATAGAAAAATATTTTAAGTTTCTTATTTTAAATTGTAATGTGCTAACAAATTGAAGTATTTTCATTACATATACCTATGTTTGTCCTTTGTTTGATTTTTAATGGAATAACAGCTGGATGAAACCAATGCCTTGCTGCGAACAGAATCTGATACTGCAGCCCGGTTAAGAAAAACCCAGGCCGAAAGTTCAAAACAGATTCAGCAACTAGAATCTAACAATAGAGATCTACAGGATAAAAACTGCCTGCTGGAGACTGCCAAATTAAAACTAGAGAAGGAATTTATCAATCTTCAGTCAGCCCTAGAATCTGAAAGGAGAGACCGAACCCATGGATCAGAGATAATTAGTGATTTACAAGGTATTAGAGATTGCACTTGAATTCATCTTGAAAATTCATTTAGAATAACTTTAGATAATGGAGAATGAACTAGAGTAGCACTTACTCAAATGTTCTACACTTATATAAGTTAGAATATTTACAATATAGTGATACAAAATTTTGTGAACAAAAGATTTACTGTCAAACAGTATAAAATATTTTAAGTATCAAACATCTCTCTGGTAGATTGTGAATCCTAGTTGAATTAACTGAGAAGCATTGTACCAACAATTATAAAACTCTAAAACTCTTGCTCGTAAATAACAACTCCAAGATATGAGGTGGCTTCCAAAGTTTTTACTCTTAATTGAATGCATGTACCTTGTGGGTTCATTGTTTTTTAAAACATGTTATAATTTTTAGGTAGAATATCTAGCCTAGAAGAAGACTTAAAGAATGGCAGAAGCTTATTAGCAAAAGTGGAGCTGGAGAAGAGACAACTGCAAGAAAGATTTACTGATTTGGAAAAGGTAAAACATGTCACACTTTATATTTTTGTGTAAGAAAATGACAGTAGAGTTTCAGATTGGAAAAATTATTCTAAAAAAAGGGAAATCAGTAACTGGAATATTTCCACATAATTCATGGATTCTTTCATATTTAGACTTGGTTGTGTAGACTAGGGATATATATTTTTAGTACTACACAAGCAACCCTTACTATACTTAGGTGCTTGTTCAGGAAAGGAGTCTCTTGGAGTGTGTATTATGAGAATGCTTTTTTCTGTGGGTCCAAGTAAAACTCAAATTTTGACCCACATCATGTCTTAAAAGTGATGTAATACAAAGTTATCATGACTTCTGGCATTTAGAAGTATTCCTTTAAAAATGCTATAAACCAAGGATAAGTTTTAGGGTGTGTGCATTTAATATTTTGTTTTTATATACTTATTTATTCATTTGTTTAAATATTTAGTATGTAATCTGTAGTAGAAATATCAGGATGCAATCTTGCCTTTAGCAATCTTGTTGTCTGATGGGTAATTTTTAAAGTAATAAGCACACACAGAATTTTAATGTAGTATGGTAAGTAAAATGATAGCAGTATGGACAGGGTATATTTGGTGGACAGCATGAGCCCCTAATCTGACAGAGCAGGATTGGTTGGCAAGACAAAGACATATTCTGCGTGGGGGGTAGGATAGCATGAGCAAAGGCACAGAGGATAGAAAATTAAAAAAAAGACAATCTCTTTATTTAAGTACAAACGCTTCTATATTTCTGGAGTATAGAGCAAGGGTCAGCAAACTTCAGTCTTTTAAGGGCAAAATAGTAAATATTTTAGGCTTTGCAGGTTGTATGGTCTCTGCTGCAACTGCTCAACTACTCGGTACATAAGGAAATGGCTTGGCTATGTTTCGATGAAACTTTATTTATAAATAAAGAATAAATTTCAAGCTGAATTTGGCCCGAGGACCACAGTATGGTCCTCATGTAAGAGGGAGGAATTCTGTGACCAGAGTGAGCATACAGAGCTAGCAGAGGTTAGATCATGCAGGACTGTGAATACTCTGTTAAGAAAATTAGAATATATTCTCTAAGTAATGGGCTAGCCACTGAAGGGTTTTAAGTTAGATGATAGTCTTATTAGAGTACATTTTAAATAGATCCCTCTGTACTATGTAGAGAACACATTTGAGGAGAAAAGGCTACAGGCGGGAAGACTTTTGCAGTAATCCAGATAAGTGATAATGGATACTTAACTAGTGCAGTGGTTAAAATGATGGAAAATAGGGATGAATATGAGAAATGTTTCGGAGAGGAATATTCAGTAGCACTTAGTGATGAATTAGACATGGCATGTGAGGAGTAGTCAAGGATGAGTCTTAGGTTGTGTTGAGGTATGTAGTGGTACCATTAATTAATAAAGAATAAAGGAAATATAGCTCAGTTAGAGAAGACAATGTTAAGTCTATTTTAGACCTCTTACATTAATAAAGAATAAAGGAAATATAGCTCAGTTAGAGAAGACAATGTTGAGTCTATTTTAGACCTCTTGAGTTTGAGGTGCCTGTAGGACAGCCAGATTAAGACGTCTTCAAGTCTGTAAGCTATGGTAGTATTCATAGCTAGAAGTATTTGAGACAGGTAGTCCCTGGGCTATGAACATCTGGCCTATGTACAACCGATAATTAAGGAACCAACCCCATAAAGCCTATTATTGTAAAAAAATTTTGAAGTACATATAATGGTTCATAATAACAAATGGGTGCTACTTGGCAACACGCATTGAAACAGTATTATTATCGTTATTATGACTGTATTGTGTTAAAGATGTTTTAGTATAGTTGAAAGTGTTTCTTTAATGGTTTTTGTGCATAGAAAAGGGACACTGTATACTATATATAAGACATTTGGCTAACTGACATTAAATACAAACTGTACCTAAGTGTTTCAACTTACTTACAAGTTTAACTTAAAGACAGATTTAGGAATGGGATGCATTCATAATCCAGGGACTGCCTGTAATCAGTATATGAGAGACTGAAACCACGTGGGTGGAGGAGCCTATCTGGGAAGAGATTGTGTAGAGCAGTGATTTTTCAGGGCAGAGTAGATTTTAGGCTCTGTTGGTGGATTCTGTAATTTGAAAAATCATTTTTTTTTTAATTTAAAAATTTTTAAATTAAAGATTTTATTTGGAAAGCAAGAGATATACCCATATTTATAATAGGCAGCTGGGTGGTGCAAATGGTTAAATGCTCAACTGTTAGCTGAAAGATTGGTGGCTTAAACCCACCCAGCGGCACCTCAGAAGACAGGCTTGGTGATCGGCTTCCGAAAGGCCTTGAAAACCCTGTGGAGCAGTTCTACTCTGCACACACGGAGTTGCCATGAGTCAGAATCAATGGCAGCTAACAACAACATGTTATTTATGATATAAACTATGGAAAGCAAAGAATAAGAAAATCTTTTGGGAGTATATAGAAAATAGACTGACTTTTGTGTATCAGAGATTCTCAACTTAAAACAAGTCCCCTGTATGGGGAGTGATGGTGAAAGGTAGGGGATCCTGATGGGGAGGGTAGAAAATATATAATATGTGTGTGTGTATCTCAATGGGAAACATTAAGCATGTTTTATAAGTTTGAGAAATAATGATATAGGAAGAAGAGAGACATTGTCACTAAAGAACACCACCATTTAAGGGGCCACTGAGAGAACCTTCAAAAGTGATGGAAAATGTGAGAGCAGGTTTGCCAAGGGAATAGTTTCAAGGGCAGCAGTGAGCTCAAATAAGATAAAGACTGAAAAATGTTGAATTTGATATTGAGAATGTCATTGGTCACGTTGTGGAGTCAAATGATCTTAATACAAATCTCAAATGAGTAAAGTGGATGTGGGGGATGGGTACAGTAGCATGATAAGTGTGAAGTAAAGTAGAGCATGTAGATTACAGTTATGAGAAGTTTGGATGAAGAGAGGAGAAGTACTGAATAATCTTATTAAGCCTATTTAAAAAAACTACTTAAAAAGTTTTTGAAATTGTAAGGCACTCTTTGTTGATAGCTGCCATTTTAAATCTTTAATAGGAAAAGAGCAACATGGAAATAGATATGACATACCAACTAAAAGTTACACAACAGACCTTAGAACAAGAAGAAGCGGAACATAAGGCTACAAAAGCACGGCTGGCAGATAAAAATAAGATCTATGAATCTATTGAAGAAGCTAAATCAGAAGCCATGAAAGGTATGCATTTTTTAAACAGAGTTTGCCAGCAACATTTTACCAAGAATTGATTCTGTATTCAACTCTGGTTTTGAAAAACATTTGTTTTTCAACTACAACAACAAAAAACCATATTAGGGAAGCTTTACGTATATATTATTTTTCCTTTATAGCAATAGTCATTTCTAGGATAGAATATGCCCAAACATAAAATTATTCAGTCAAATTTTTAGGTCAGAGAAAAATTAGTATTTCAGTGGCATCGATACTGACAGGCATACAGAGTGTGACGTTCTAGATATATCTACTCAAATTTTGGAGATACAATCTTCTTATAATATTTAATATTATTTGGCATCTTGTAATCTTGCATTACAAAATTCTTATGCCTTGTGGGTTTATGAAAGAAAGATTTAAAAATAATAGCTGGCCTAACTAGAATATCAGTTCACTGAATATTTTGAACTCTGGCATGATGAAGATTCTGGCCAGATTTGGTTAAAGCCATACAGTACTAATGAGTGTAAGATAAGAAAACAAAATTTAACTTTTGCATGAACCAACCTTTATCTGGAAACGTCTTAGAATAATTTCATTTGTTCCAAACTGATTGTTTATAATTATAATGGATTTGAAATTTCAAAGGAAATCAGTACTTTAAAGTGTACTTGTGAAAAATTCATAAAGCTCTTAAAGAGAAAATTTATTTCATATTGAAGCATAGCATTTATGAATAACTTAGTAAAAATTTGCCTTTTAATTACTGCATGTAACTAGAATTGGAGTTTTCTTATTAAAATCAGTTTAGTTTAAGATACTAATTGAGGATGCTAAACGATTACAGGTATGTTTTATTTAGAAAAATCTAATTGGAAAAGAGAAATTTAATTGACCATGTTTCTTTGTCCTCAGCTGGGAGATAGAGTTGGATTTTGTTGTTGAGGTATAATTTATGTGCAATAAAATGCAGAACATTTTGACATTTGTAACATGCTTGTATAAGCACCACCCAAAACAAGATATAGAATATTTTCATCACTTCAGTAAGTACCCTCGTACCTCTTTTTATTCTCTGTGCACATTTTAAATGAGCACATTTGTTGATAGGTTATTCCCTGAACTGATGAAAATGAGCCAATTTTAGTATAACAGCTACCATTTTTTCAAACTATTATAACAATAATGTAAATAGTTTCCATGTTTTACACATAAGTATACAAAACTAAGTATTATAGATGGTATTTAAATTCAGGTCTAAAGCCTTTGTTCTTTCTGCTGTATACATCATTGCCTTCTTGGATTGAGAATGGTTTACCAGTTACTAGCTATGTGACCTCGTCTAGTTACTTGACCTTTCTTAGTCTTATTTCCTATAAAGGAGTAATGATGGTATTTTAAGGTTGTTGGGAGAATCATGAGGATGTAGTGAAAACTAAGAACAATAATGTATGTAAAATGTTTAGAAATGCTAGCTAGAGATAAATTATTAGTAACACACTTAGTATACTTGTGAAGACCATGCATTAAAATCTGAAAATTCACAGGTTTAATTTTTACCTAATATAACTTTGTAATAAATGATGATTAGATATTGGGCATTAAGTATGAAGGAGCAGAAGAACCCTAATTGGATTTGAACAGAATTGTTAATCAGCATAGCAAAAGATAATCTTTTAACTGTAGTAACTTACATTTAATAATGAAATAACTTGATTAGAAATAAATTTTGCTGCTGTTCACTTCAGGTTTGAAAAAGGCTTGTAAAAGCCTTTCCTGATTAATAAAACAAACTAAAAGTTTATCGCAAATCATTTAGAAAGTACAGGACAGTATAAAGAAGAAATGGAGCCCTGGTGGCACAGTAGTCAAGAACTTGGTTGCTAAACAGTGAGTAAGAACTTGGTTGCTAACCAAAAGTGCGGAAGTTTGAATCTACCAGCTGCTCCTTGGAAACCCTGTGGGACAGTTCTACTCTGTCCTGTAGGTTCGCTACGAGTCGGAATCAACTTGATGGCAACGGGTTTGTTTTTTTTTTAATAAAGAAGAAAGTAAAGATTACCTGTAATCCTACTAATCAAGGTAATACTCCGTAAATTTCCTCCATTTTTTCATACTGCTTTGCTTTTTTTCTTTTAAAATATATTGTGAACATTTTTTAGGTCATTAAACATTTTTAAATAATGAGCACTTATCAAGCGCTTGCCATATGCCAGGCAACATTTAAGTGCTACACATATATTAACTTAAAATCTTCATAACATCCTCATGAGAGTAAGTACTGTTATCTCCATTCTACAGATAAAGAAACCGAGGCCCAGAGAGGTTAATAAACTTGCTCAAGGTTAAATAAGTATTAGAGCCAGAATTTAAACTCAGCAGTTTGATTCCAGTGTCCTGTTCTTAACCATAATTTCAAATATCTGCATAATAATCTTTTATTTTAGAAAGAACTGTGAAGGTCATAGGATTTACCTGGAAAATGTTTCAAGGTAATAATATTGAGAGGGACACAGAGTAGCAGGAAAATAAATCTTCACTTAAAAGATGCGAGCATTAAAAAAGGCAGAAGTATCTTGCTTCCATTGGAATGGATGTGATATTGCAGAGTGTGATAGATTTTTATACCTTGCAAATGAAACTCCTAATTTTTAAATATGAAATTCTTTTTTTTTAATTCAACTTTAGATGAAGGCTTACAGAACAAACTAGCTTCTCGTTAAACAGTTAGTACATATATCGTTTTATGACATTGGTTAACAACCCTATGACATGTCAGTACTCTCTCTTCTTGGCCTTGGGTTCCCTATTACCAGCTTTCCTGTCCCCTCCTGCCTTCTAGTCCTTGCCCCTGGGCTGGTATGCCCCTTTAGTCTCGTTTTGTACTCTGGGTCTGTCTGATCTTTGGCTAAAGGGTAAACCTCCGGAGTGACTTCATTATTGGGCTCAAAGGGTGTACGGGGGCCATACTCTCAAGGTTTCTCCAGTCTCTGTCAGGCCAGTAAGTCTGGTCTTTTTTTGTGAGTTAGAATTTTATTCTACATTTTTCTCCTGCTCTGTCCGGGACCCTGTATTGTGATCCCTGTCAGAGCAGTCAGTGATGGTAGCTGGGCACCAACTAGTTGTACTGGACTCACTCTGATGGAGGCCATAGTAGTTGTGGTCTGTTAGTCCTTTGGACTAATCTTTCCCTTGTGTCTTTAGTTTTCTTCAGTTTCCCTTGCTCCTGAAAGGGTGAGTCCAGTGGAGTATCTTCAATGGCCGCTCACAGACTTTTAAGACCCCAGACACTACTCACCAAAGTAGAATGTGGAACATTTTCTTTATAAACTATATTATGTCAACTGAGGTAGATGTTCCCTGAGACCATGGTCCCCACGGCCCTCAGCCCAGTTCAGTCCCTAAGGGAGTTTGGATTTGTCCATGTAGTTTCCATGACCTTACCCCGAACAAGTTGTGCTGGCCTCCCAGTATTGTATACTGTCTTACCCTTCACCATAGTTACCACTTACATATTGTCTATTTAGTGCTTTTCCACCCCCATCCCTCCCCTCCCTCGTAACCATCAAAGATTGTTTCTGTTTGTGTGTAACCTTATCATGAGTTTTTATAGTAGTGGTCTCATACAATATTTGTCCTTTTGTGATTGACTTAACTTCACTCAGCATAATGCCCTCCGGATTCATCCATGTTGTGAGATGCTTTGCAGATTCATCATTGTTCTTTATCATTGCATAGTACTCCATTGTATGTATGTACCATAGTTTGTTTATCCATTCATCTGTTGATAGGCATCTAAGTTGTTTCCACCTTTTTGCTATTGTGAACAAAGCTGCAGTGAACATGGGTGTGCCTCTGTCTATTCGTGTGATGGCTCTTATTTCTGTAGGATATATTTCTAGGAGTGGGATTGCTGGATTATATGGTATTTCTATTTCTAGCTTTCTAAGGAAGTGTCATATCATTTTCCAAAATGGTTATACCATTTTGCATTCCTACGAGCAGTGCATAGGAGTTCCAATCTTCCCATAACCTCTCCAACATTTTTGTTTCCAGTGTTTTTGATTCGTGCCAGTAATGCCGGGGTGAGATGGTATCTCATTGTGGTTTTAATTTGCATTTCTCTAATGGCTAGTGATAGTGAGCATTTCCTCATGTGTCTCTTGGCCGCTTGAATGTCTTCTTTGGTGTTGTGTCTGTTCATTTCGTTTGCCCATTTTTTAGTTGTATTATTTGTCTTTTTGTGGTAGAGATGTTGGATTTTCCTGTAGATTTTAGAGATTAGACCTTTGTCAGATTTGTAGTAGCCAAAATTTTTTTCCCAGTCTGTGGGTTCTCTTTTTACTCTCTTGGTGAAGTCTTTTGATGAACGTAAGTGTTTAATTTTTAGAAGATCCCAGTTATCTAGCTTATCTTCTGAAGTTTGTATGTTGTTAGTTATGGTTTGTATCCTATTAATGCCATGTATTAGGGTCTCTAGCGTTGATCCTATTTTTTTTCTTCTATGATCTTTATAGTTTTTGGTTTTAGACTTGGGTCTTTGATTTATTTTGAATTAGTTTTTGTGTATGGTGTGAGGTATGGGACATCCAATTTTCCTAGCACCATTTGTTAAAAAGACTGTCTTTTCCCCATTTGATGGACTTCAGGCCCTTTTTGAAGATCAGGTGACTGTAGGTGGATGGATTTACATCTGGGTTCTCAGTCCTGTTCCTTTGGTCAACGTATCTGTGGTTGTACCAGTACCAGGCTGTTTTGACTACCATAGCTGTATAATAGGTTCTGAGGTCAGGTAGTGCGAGTCCTCCTACTTTATTCTTCCCCTTCTGTAATGCTTTTACTTATCCGAGGCCTCTTCCCTTTCCATATAAAGTTAATGATTAGTTTTTCCATCTCTTTAAAGAATATTGTTGGTATTTGGATCGGGATTGCATTGTATTTGTAGATTGCTTTGGTCAAATATGAAATTCTTGACATTTCAAGCGCAAATATTTTAAGGCAGCATCATTTACTGTCGTTTTATTAGCATGTGTTATGTGTTTGATACGCTTTTGTTTGTAAATTCATGGTTATATTAATTTTTGTTGTATTAGAAATGGAGAAGAAGCTTCTAGAGGAAAGGACTTTAAAACAGAAAGTGGAGAACCTATTGCTGGAAGCTGAGAAAAGATGCTCTATATTCGACTGTGATCTCAAACAGTCACAGCAGAAAATAAATGAGCTCCTTAAACAGAAAGATGTGCTAAATGAAGATGTAAGTAAGAAGTTTTCTAATAAAAATAAAGTATGTAATGAATTAATAAACTGGGTTTATTTGTCTAGGGCCAATGACAGTTTCATAAATTTTTAAAATTTTCTTATAAAATAGTGTTTTGTGAACTTTAAGTTTTACTGAATTTGAATGATATACTAAATGAATCATTGTTTTAATTTTAAAGTTATTTTCACTTTAAAGACCATGTTTTATTTTAAATATGTATTCATAACATACATTATCAGAGGCAAAAAACAACAAAACTGTGAAACATATATTTATTAACTGCCTAAGGGCAAAAATCGTTTACTTCACCATGTTTGCTGCAAGCTGCACTGATAAGAAAAATCAAAATAATTTACTTACATACCAAGTATACAATTTATTTTTTAGGTTAGAAACTTGACGTTAAAAATAGAACAGGAAACTCAGAAGCGCTGCCTTACACAAAATGATTTGAAGATGCAAACGCAGCAAGTTAACACACTAAAAATGTCAGAAAAACAATTAAAACAAGAGAATAATCATCTCATGGAAATGAAAATGAGCTTGGAAAAGCAAAATGCTGAACTTCGGAAGTAAGTTAATTTCTTGAGACAAAGTTTTACTGATATGCACAATTATCCACATGTAAATGATCTTAATTTTGGTTTACCTGGGCTTTTTCATTGACCATTTTACTTTCTTGACTACCTGTACAAATATATATAATGGTGGGTTTTTGGTATATTTTTATTGTTTTTTCATTTTGTTTTTTAATTGTATCTCACAGTTTGTGTTGTTCCAACTTGATTTTTTTCCCTTAGCTTTGATTTGGAATATCTATAATTTTAATTTTTTTAAAATAAGGCTAGAATTTATCGGTTTCAACGCAACTTCTTAAGTGGGTTGTTAGCCTTCTTTTTACTTATTTTTTATTGAAGACTAACATATACCCAGGAAAAAATATACAAATTATAAGTGTAGAGTTCAATTAATTTTTACAAAGTGAGTAAATCTGTACAGCATCAACCAGATTTACATATAAACATCACCACTGCAGATGTTCCCCTTCCCAGCCTTTACTTCACCCACCCTAAGATTATCACTTTTCAGGTACTTTTCTAATTCTATGCTTGGCAGGCATAAATGGCTGATCACACTGCATGTATGGGAATGTGTACTTCAGAATTGTTGGTTTAATGCAGCACTTTTTGTTTCAAGACCCCTTTACATTCTTAAAAATTATGAAGGGCCCCAAAGAGTTTTTGTTTATGAATCCTATCTATTGATGTTTGTTTTGTTAGAAATTAAAACTGAGAAATTTTTAAAACACAAGAACACATAAGCACACATTGCTTTAGCCATTGATGATGACATCATTACATGTCACGTAGCCTAAGGAAGATCCATATATACTAGTGAGAGAATGAGAGTGAAAAAGATCAAGTGATGCCTTAGTATTATTATGAAAATAATTAGATGTCATGAATTCTCTGAGAGGGTCTCAGGGATTCCCAGGGGTTCCCCAGACTACATTTTGAGAGTTGGTGGTTTACTATGTATGTAACTTATTTAAACCTTTTAATTCAACGTCCCCACAGAGAACGTCAAGATGCAGATGGGCAAATGAAAGAGCTCCAAGATCAGCTTGAAGCTGAGCAGTATTTCTCAGTAAGTTCCAGGCACATTAATTTGAAAAATTGCTGTTTATGTATAAATTTTTTTTTTAATTCTTGCTGCAGAACTAGGCGTATTGTTCTTACCCAGTCTTATGCGTCAGAGGAAGGACCAGGGAGGGGGGATGTTTAAAAAAAAATCCTTATTCCTAGGCCTACAATTGGCATTAGCAAATTGAAGTGTCTGAGACTAGGGCCAGAGAACTTGTTTGCTCTTTAAGAATAAAAAAGCTCACTAGGTAGTTTTGATGTAGTGTTCCACTTCTGTGAACCACTGAACTAGAGGCTTTCTAAAGGGCACAAAAGACTACCAACCCACAAAAATTATTTTCAAACCCTTCATTTCTTTCATACTAAGAGCCCCAGGTAAATAGCTATCACCCCCCCACCACCCCTGAACATTTCTTATCATTTAGTTATTTAATTAAAAACAAACTGAGGGAAAAATGTTGAGCCATATTTACTCTCGTCCTTAGAATAGCAAACACCAGAGTTTTGGATGAGATGTTTTGTACCACACAACTCATAAAAGAGCAGCTGGGCAAAAGAATATAGATACCTTAATAGAAATCCATTATCATTGCTAGAAAAACAGTTTTAAGCACATACCCATGCCTGATGAGGCTAGTTAAGAGCACTGCTTATTGAGGAAGAATATGTTTTCACAATGAAATAAATAAAATTGTAATAAAATGGTCATTTTAACATTTATGTTTGAAATTAGTTTTAAAATATGAAGTAGACTCTATCACTTCTGTTCCATTGATTTAAGCAAACAAAAATTTCTCGTCTACATTGGTAATATTTTTCCTTGCCTCTTCATTATCCTACCAAGGTGTGTCATTCAGTCAGAAACTTCACTGTGATCTTTAGTTGAAAGTCACTCTTCTAAATTATTAAGTGAACTTTTATTCTTTTATTAGTTAGTCAATTGATTATTAGAAAAAAGAAAAGCTCATTGAAAAAGATTAATTTGCTCAGGAGCTCACATTAAGGAAATATATGTGTTCACAACTTGAATTTTTATCTGGACAGATTTTGAAGGTAGAAATAACATTTCTGGTGATGATAATACTACACATTTCTGTTATATTTTGCCATTTAGACGCTCTATAAAACACAGGTTAGGGAACTTAAAGAAGAATGTGAAGAAAAGACCAAACTTTGTAAAGAATTACAGCAGAAGAAACAAGAATTACAGGATGAAAGGTAAGGACAATATCTTGTTTCTTTCGTTCATAGCTACTGTATATACCCTGCTCCTAGAACAGTGCCTGGACACATCAAATAAAAATTTGTTGATAAAGTGAATTAGATAAAAACTTTGACTTCATAGTGAAAATTAAAATGATTTATATCTGTAAAATACAGGGACTCTTTGGCTGCCCAACTGGAGATCACCTTGACCAAAGCAGATTCTGAGCAGCTGGCTCGTTCAATTGCTGAAGAACAGTATTCTGATTTGGAAAAAGAGAAAATAATGAAAGAGCTGGAGATCAAAGAGATGATGGCCAGACACAAACAAGAGCTTACAGAAAAAGATGCTACAATTGCATCTGTAAGTAAAATTCTTTGTACTTTTTTGATTATAGTTAAATTACTGCAGTGAAACCTGTGAGAGCCAGAACTTGATGGGACTGCCTTGTTTTTCTGGGTCTCGCAGTTTTTCCGTCTTTGACAGGGTGAGTCTTACCACTTTTCTGTTGCTTCCTGTTACGAATCCTACCTCGTGTTAGTTTTGAGTTTTCCTTCTCTGACAGCTTTCCACCATACACAGATTCTGGCTTTCACAGGTTTTATTGTTTATCATAAATCTTTAGAAACACTGGAAAAGTATAATAGATCTAAATGAAAAATTATGTATGCTGGCTACAAGATTTTTAATCCAGTTAACCATCAGCTTCCAGGTGTTATTTGGCAGAGGAAAGCTCAAAAAAGAACTACTTCCAATGGTTGCATCTGTTGGTAAATTCAGATTTAAAGGTCTAAAGTCATAGGGAGAATTCAAAAGTAGGAAACAATTTGCCTTTTTCTTTTTTTTCCTGTTTACAATGCTTAGTTCAAAAGAATCCTGAAGCTGTGGTGAAGGCAGCTATATACAGGTTGAAGAAAGTTGCAATAAAAATTTCAAAGAGAAGTAAAATATCAGGTAGTGGATTGAGTATTTTTAGTACTTACTAATTTTTTTTTTCTTTTGGTCCTGAAACTTTGATTCTCAGAAGACTTTCATATGGATTGATTTTTTTCTTTAGGGCTCAAATATTATCATAGTCATTCTGTTGTTTCGTTGAAATAGTATGATCATTTTTATTATCATTCAGTTAAATCTAGACTCCTGGTAGAATAGGAGAGCATCTACTAATTTACTTGGATTATTCTGAATGTGTTTTGTTACCAACTATATGTCTGTCATGGTGGTCTCATAGTGCTGTGCTATGAAAGTTCTCTTTGCCCTATTTACGTACTATCACTACTTAGTTACATAGCCTGTGGTGTAGGTTCTTAATTTAATTCAGAAATTTAAAAAAAAAGGGTGATGCATGGCTAAGCAGTAAAAGAAAATGGGTTTTACAGTTTAAAAGATTAAGCTAATCTAAAAATACTTGGAGCAGGGATATATGATTATCTAGAACAGTATATATCTTATAAGATGAAGGCAAGAAGTAATTTTATTTTTTAAGTTACTTGTTTATTAAGAAATTGAATGATGTTTCTCTAAGATTTAATTGCTAAGTGAACTCAGGAATTATAGATAAAACAAACAAAAAAATTAGTAATCGTATAGAAGATTTGAACAAGCTAACAAGCTAGATCTAATAGATATGGAACTCTGCATACAGAGAATATACATTCTTTCAAGCACACTTGGAACATTTATAAAAAGTGACTACATACACAGGCCACAAAGGAAGTCTCAACAAATTCCAAAGAACTAGTATCATACAGGCCATGCTTAGATGCTAAAAAGACAAATATCTGATTAAAGAAGAAATCATAATGGAAATAAATTAAGTATTTAGAACTGACTACACTAACAGTTGTATAAAATGAGTTACCATCAAGTTGATTCTAATTCCTGGTGACCCCATGTGTTTCAGAGCAGAACTGCCATCTAAAGAGTTTTCAGTGGCTAGGATCTTTTGGAAGCTAATCACCAGGCTCTTCTTCCAAGGCACCGTGGGGTGGATTCAAACTGCCAACCCTTCAGTTAGTAGCTTAGCAGTTAACGTTTGTGCTGCCCAGGGCCTCCAATGTATATTAAAACTTTTGAGAGGAACCTGTGAAGCTGTACTTAAAGAGATACTTAAGGCCTATGTACTGATAGTTCAAGAAGTTAGAAAAAGAATAAAAATAAGTCCAAACAGAAGGAGATAATAAAATGAATAATAAACTAATGAAATAAAAAATACCCAGAAAAATAGAGATGATCATCAAAATTAGAAAGAAATTCTTTGAAAAGATGAAAGGGGGAAAAAACTGCCAAACTGATCAAGGAAGAAAAAGAGATGACACAAATAAATAACAGTAGGAATAGAAGTAGACATATAAATATGATAGAGTAGGACATTAAGTATGATTTTTACTATTGGTTTTGGTAGGTACACCATACTTAATGGGGAAACCTGAGAAGCAGTCAGGAACAAAACAAGAATGCCCGATATCACCCCTGATATTTCCATGTTAAACTAGAGGTTGCAGATGAACTATTATTATTTTATCTATAAATTCTTATTGAGAGTTCAATAATGTTGCTTTACATAAAACTGCTATATGCAAATTGATACATTCCCCATAAAAGTAACCACCTAAAAATGTTATAATTAACCCACTCACAATAGCTATAAAATTGAAATAGAAGAACATAAAAAGCACAGCAACAACAACAAACTCCAATAATAACCCCCAATTTTTTTTTTATAGATTGAAAGACTATCAAAGAGATTTTGGTTCTTCCTAAATTTATCTAAAAATTCAATACAACTCACTAAAAAAAAAGGCAAGAGTAATTTTAATAGGACTAAACCAACTTATTTTAAAATTCAGATGGGAAAGTAAAAGGTCCAAAAAGACTCAAAACAGTTGTAAAAAAAACAACAGAGAAAGGATTTACTCTAGCAGGTATCCAGATCTTTCAGAATGCTGCAAAAATTAAAATAGTGGGCCATCCAAGACACAACAAATGGTCTCTCTTCATGTGGAGCATCAGAGGAAGAAGGAAGCCCAAGAATCAGAGAAGCAACTAATAGCCCCATGAACCAATGCTTCCTCTAAAATGAGAGAACTGGATGGTGCCTGGCTACCACTACCGAACATTTTGACTGGGGACACAATACATGAATCTTGATACAAAGGGAAAAAATGTAGAACAGAACTTCAGATTCCCAAAGAATCCAGACTTACTGGATCCATTGATGCTGGGGGAACTCCTGAGACTATTGCCCTTGGATACAATCCTCTGAAGTCATCTTTAAATAGAAAAACAGTTTAGCTTGAAAAGTAAAGAATGTCATCCTTACATATTGCGCTTAAAAAAAAATTATGTGAGACCAAAGTAACAACAGTAACTGTAAAACATAGATGAGAAGTTTAGGAGGCAGTGAGTCTAAATGGGGGTAAAGCAACTAGATCAGAAATGAGAATGTTGACATAATGACAGAATGTAACCAATGTCACTGAACAATATGTATAGAAATTATTAAATGGGAGCATGTTTTGATGTATGTATTTTCACCAAAAATAAAATTAAATAAAAAAGAATTAAAATAGTGTGTTATTACAACAGAGCTATTCAGTTCTTTCTGTTTAGTGGAAGTGAATAGGGAGGCCAGAAATAGATTCATGCACATACAGGAACTTGGTGTATGATAAAGTAGCAATATATAAATCAGTGGGAAAGGGCATAGATTTAATAAATGGTTTTGAAAATAATTGAATTTTTTTGTTTCAGTGTGGTTAATGTATCTATACATACATATACATACATATGTATCTATACATACATAACAAAACATTTACCAATTCAGTATTTTTTATGTGTATAATTCAGTGACATTGATTATGTTTATCATATTATTCAACTCTGTTTCCAAATCATTCTACCACTGTTTACAGAAACTCAGTGCACCCTAAGCAAAGACTCCTCCTTTCCCCCTCTCCCACCCTTTGGTCTCTTTACATTTGCTTATTTCATGTAAGTGGGATCCTACAGTGTTTGTTCTTTTGTGACTGACTTATTTCAGCATGTTTTCAAGACTCATCCATGTTGTAGCATGTATCAGGACTTCATTATTCTTTATGGCTGAGTAACATTTCATTGTGTATATATTTATCAGCAAGGATAATTCTTAACATAATCTAAGGTTAAAAAAATTACAGCAAGGTAAATATAGGGAGATGCTATTTATGGAAAATTTTAAATCATATAAAACCACACTATATATTGATTATGGTGTCATGTATATGTAATACAAGTATCAAATCATGTATTTGAAACTTCCTTCAGGAAGGAAGGATAGGAATAGGATTTGGATGGAATACAAAGGGATGTCAAGTTCATCAGTAAAATTCTATTTTTCATTTTAAAACAATGTTTTGAAAGAAATATGACAGTGTTAAAATATGTTTATTCTGCATGGTGGGCATACAGGATTTTATTACACTGTTTCCTTTTTATAGTTTTTTTTTTCCATTAAAAAATGAGTAAGAACTTAGGAGAGAAGTGCAGTTTTTTGTCTTCCTGGGGTACATACGCAGTCTGTTACTGTTAGCAAAATTTTCGTCAAGAGTGAAGTTTGGTAGGTAGCACAAAGGAAAGAAGTATAGAGGTGGATGTTGTCTTAGTTATCTAGTGCTGTTATAATAACAGAAATACCACAACTGGATGGCTTTAACAGAGAGAAATTTATTCTCTCACAGATTAGGAGGCTAGATGTCCAAATTCAGGCCACCAGCTCTAAGGGAAAACTTCTTTTTGTCAGCTCTGGGGGAAGGTCATTGTCATCAGTCTTCCCCGGTCTAGGAGCTTCTCAGCGCAGGCACCCTGAGTCCAAAGGATGCCTTCTGCTCCCAGTTCTTCTTTCTTGGTAATAGGAGGTCCTTCACCTCTCTGCTCGATTCTCTCTTTTATTTCTCAGAAGAGATTACTCAAGATACAGCCTAATCCTGTAGATTGAGTCCCACCTCATTAACATAACTGCTTCTAATCCTGCCTCATTAACATCATAGAGGTTAGGATTTACAACACATAGGTAATTACATCAGATCACAAAATGGAGAACAACCACACAAGACTGGGAATCATGGCATAGCCAAGTTGACACACATTTTGGGGAGCACAATTCAATCCATAACAGATGTGTTTAGAAAAATGAGTATTAACAACATTCTAGGATGTTTTCTTTTGAATTATTACTTTTAATTATAACTTAAATTTTGCAAATTGGGATGTGATTTGTTCTTATGCTTTCATTTCTTAGCTTGAAGAAGCTAATAGGACACTAACTAGTGATGTTGCCAATCTTGCGAATGAGAAAGAAGAATTAAACAACAAACTGAAAGATGCTCAAGAACGTATGTATTAACAAAGAATAAGGTTTATTTTTAATATACTTAGCATTTTGTCAATTGCTATAATTATCAATATAATTTTTACGTTTTCCTATATTTCAGAGCTATCAATATTGAAAGATGAAGAGATAAGTGCAGCAGCTATTAAAGCACAATTTGAGAAACAGCTGTTAACAGAGAGAACACTCAAAACTCAGGTATGTGTAATAGAATCTAAATATGATTTTGAATGTTTATTAGTTTCTCTCTTCCACTGAATAATAAAAAATAATGTTTTATTTCTAACATTACAATTTGCAAGCAGTAGTCATTGAAGGTTTTGATATTTGTGAGCAGTCACAGTCACCTGATTTTTGCCAGATGGGGAGAAGCTAGATTTCAGTTACACATTGTTCGATTCAATGTTTATTAACATTTTTCTTATTTTTTTATTATAAGCTGATGGCTTTTTCTCTGCTTTTAAGAAGCTAGCTAGTGACTATTTGCTAACAGCCTGAAAAAAGTTAGTCTCAAAAGTCACCTGTGGCTTTTGACCACCCCTCTGCCAACTCAGATAATTGTATGCCCGAATGCTTGTGGTTCCTAGATAGTCTTCTCTATGGTTGGACAGGTTGCATTTTATTAACATGATACCAATGCAGAATTTTTTCTCGAGGATAAAATAAGATCTGCCTAGTAAGTCTGTTTGGAACTAAAAAGTTAAAGTGATAGAAAATGGCATCAGATCAAACCTATAAACATTTTAAAATACAGTTCTCAGAGAACTGAGGGTGAAAAACGAGTAAGAGTATGGGTTGGAGGAGGGTTGGAGAAGGACAGTGAGTAATGAAGGAGGTGCATTATTTAAGCAATACAGAATGTATTTTTGTGGCCCTGTTTATAGGGAAGGAGATTATTGGTACTTGTGTAACTTGGTATTGGTGAGTTATTAAGAAGCCATTGACATAATTCATTTTATTCGTTTATTTTTATTTTGGTAGAATATACATAACATTTGCCATTTCAACCTTTTTTATGTGTACAATTCAGTGACATTAATTATGCTTACCATGTTGTACAGGCATGACCACTGTCTGTTTCTAATGTTTTTTTATCACCCTTACCAAAACCTCAGTACCCCTTAAGCGATACTTATTTTTATGTTTTTAAGGCTGTGAATAAATTGGCTGAGATCATGAATCGAAAAGAACCTGTCAAGCGTGGTAATGACACAGATGTACGGAGAAAAGAGAAGGAGAATAGAAAGCTACATATGGAACTTAAATCTGAACGTGAAAAATTGACCCAGCAGATGATCAAGTATCAGAAAGAACTGAATGAAATGCAGGCTGTAAGAATACTTTTTGGACTCTAGATTGAAGACTTTTTTAAGAAGTAGAACTGTTTTCATGTCTGTGTACATTTCATTGGTTGGAGAACATTTCACAGAAGTATTCCTTAATTATTATTATTATTGAACCAAGGAGCAAAATTGTGGGATATATTGCATCTAATTAATTAAATTTAATTTCTTATAGCAAATAGCTGAAGAAAGCCAGATTCGGATTGAACTGCAGATGACACTGGACAGTAAAGACAGTGACATTGAGCAGCTACGGTCACAGCTCCAGGCCCTGCACATTGGTCTAGATAGTTCCAGTATAGGCAGTGGACCAGGGGATGCTGAGGCAGATGATGGATTTCCAGGTACAGGTTTGTTTTTAGCCCTTATGTTTATTTGTATTAAAAGCCTTTGTCTTAGATATAAATCAGTTGATTGTCTTAAGTCCTGTGCTGACTACTCTTGAAGAAAAATGTTTGCCATTTCCTTAAGGGAAAACCTATTCCTTAGAGTGAGTATTCAAATAACAGTTTAAACTTATTGATTGATTGATTTTGACAAAAATTTTTATTAAAAAAAAAATACAAAGAAAACTACATATTTAGTTTTTTAAATTAGCCTGTTAAATATGAAAATAGCTCTCTTTTTGCACTTTCACCTTATTTTCTCTTAACTTCTTTCTGCATTCTTACTTCCTTTTATGTTGGGTGTTTAGTTCATATCACTCAATCACACACTATGGAATCCATGTCATTCACCTACCAACGTTCCTCTACTTCTGTCAATATTGCCACTAAGCCTTCCAGTTCTCACATGCTTGTTGACTCTGATTCTGACTCAGAAGAAGAATCCTTGCCTTACTTACCCATTTCGTCGGAACCTAATGGTACAGGTGATATCCTGAAAATCTTTTCACCTTTGAGTTTTTTTCTATTCCCCCTAATTTCAGTTGTTTTGAAGAATTTTTATAACACTAACTAATATTCACCAACTCTAACAACTTGCTTTATGCTCAGTTAAAAATAAACTACTACTGCATGAACAAAGAATTTTTTTTTAAGGTATTTGCACACTGTGTTGCTATTATAATTGTTAGATAATTTATTTTGCAAACTTAAAAGAAATGTAGCAGGACAGACATTATATAGCTTAAGAGCTTGTGATTTCACTACCTGTTTCATCCTTTTTCAACCAAGAAGAAATTCATACTGAAATTTTGTAGCAAGAATGACAGTACAGGAAAAGCACATAGACTGTTTAGAGGATGTGCTTAAGGTTTTCATCAAGTCACATCAGCATTATACTGGGCCTTAAAAGGGAGGACAAAACAATTTGACCTGATTCTTTCACTGAGAGGGAAATGAAGACATTTAAATAAAGAAACCAGATAGAAAACACATGAAATTGTTATGTTTAACACAAAGTTGGTGCGAGAATAAGTAAAAAGGAAAAAAAGACATTTAATATAAATGCCATAGCAAGATAGTGTCTGAGCAGTTGAATGCAAAATAAAATTTTGTCTCTTATTAATTGAATTCAGAATAAAATAGCTATAGTTATTTACATTTGTTGTCACATTTTTCAGGAACATATTTCATGTATTTCTCGCATTTCAAAATAATCAAGATACAACATTAAGTCATAAAGTGATTAAAATTGAAGTTGTTTTAGATTTTAGCAATAAAATTGTTTTAATTGTATTCATATCATTAGAGGTCATCTGATTTAGTCCCTTGAATTGATATAGGACCATATCTTGACAGTGCCAGACAAATGAGCACCTGGACTGTTTCAATGATAGCATTTCTGTTCATAACCACAGGTAGGACTTCATGTGTCGTGGAGTCTGGACGCTTGTTGGTGTGAGAGAAGAGTATAGGCTCTGGAATCAGAGAGGCATTACTAGGCGATCTTTTAAGACTTTTCGTTTCCTCATCTACATGAGGAGTATAATTCCTGTTCTTTGAAGTTATTGTGAGGTTTACAGAGAATTTATGTAAAGCATCTAGCACATTCAGACACATAGTAGATGTTAAGTAAGTGGTCTTAGAATAACTTCCCCAAATGCTTATTTTATATACTTATTTCATTAAAAGATATTGATCAGATGCCATTAGAACAAATTCCAAGGTTTCAGTGTGTTTCCATTGTTGAACTAGAATTTTTTTTTTTTTAATTTTATTGTTCTTTAGGTGAAAGTTTGCAGCTCAGGTTAGTTTCTCATTCAAAAATTTATACACATACTGTTTTGTGACATTGGTTGCAATCCCCACAATGTGACAACACTCTCCCCCTTTCCATCCCAGGTTTCCCATGTCCATTCATCCAGTTTTATTGTCCCTCTTGCCTTCTCTTCTTGCTTTTGGGCAGGTGTTGCCCATTTGGTCTCATACATTTGATTGACCTGAGAAGCATGTTTCTTAGTTGTTATTTGTGTTATTGTTATTGTTTGTTTTATTGGCCTGTCTAATCTTTGTCTGATAAGTGATCTTCAGGAGTGATTTCAGTTCTGAGTTAGCAGAGTCCGGGGGCCATAGTCTCAGGGGTTCCTCCAGTCTCTGTCAGACCAGTAAGTCTGGTCTTTTTTTGTGAATTTGAATTTTGTTCTACATTTTTCTCCCACTGTGTCCAGGACTGTCTGTTGTGATCCCAGTCAGAGTGGTCGGTGGTGATAGTGGGTACCATCTAGTTCTTCTGGGCTCAGGCTGGTGGAGGCTGTGGTTCAAGTGGGCCTTTAGTCCTTTGGGCTAATATTTTCCTTGCGTCTTTGGTTTTCTTCATTCTCCTTTGCTCTGGACAGGATAGGACCAATAGATGTATCTTAGATGGCTGCTTGCAAGCTTTTAAGACCCCAGACTCTACTCACCAAAGCAGAATGTAGAACATTTTCTTTATGAACTATGTTTTGCCAGTTGACCTAGATGTCCCCCAAGACTATGGTCCCCAGACCTCAGCCCTTGGTCCCTCAACCTGTTTGCGTGTATCTAGGAAACTTGTATGCCTTTGCATCGGTCAGGTTGTGCTGACTTCCCTTATGTGAACTAGAATTTTAGTGATTTTGATATTTTGGAGTTTAAAAATGTTCTTGTTATATTGTTACCCATTAACTAGATCTTTAAATAATTCTATTTCATTTTAAAAGTCCGTTTTCCCTACGTAAGTAATTACTTATTTAAAATGTTTTCTCCTCAAAGATGTGCACTATATCTGTAGTTAGTCCTTCTGAAGGAAAAAATGAAGAATTCTAATGTAGATGGAGCAATGAAAATAGAGAGCTGCTGCTTTTTTTTTCTTTCTTTTTTTTTTTTTTTGCAGTTTTTCTGCTGACTTTGCAAAGGCATGATTATAATCAACAGGACATTTGACTTCATAAAACTATAGAATATGTGTTAACATTGTACTGTAACCTGAATTTTGTTTTGTATTGGATAACTTTTTTATACTGATCCTGCATTATTATTGTATCTTAGATGACGTGATGTATAATGATAAATTCTAAAGGGCATATTTGTTTTGTGACTTTTATATTACGATTTTATTTAATTCTTCATTGTCTAAGGAGAATTGTTATATTTATCCACATTTCTTGTGCTTGCCTTTAGAATCAAGATTAGAAGGATGGCTTTCATTGCCTGTGCGAAACAACACTAAGAAATTTGGATGGGTTAAAAAGGTAATTGGTGCTTTTGAATATGATTCTTTTCTCCCTTATGGTTTAGCGCCAGCAGTATCACCTTTGTAGTTGTAGGATATACATAACTAGAACTTTTGGACTGATGGTACTTGTTTAAACTTTCTGATTTGGGGTGATGTGATTTTATTTACCCTTGTAAAACTTTTAAATATTGGTATATTGTTAATAATAAAACAGGTTTTGGTATTAGGAAAATATAAGCCAATTGACCTTGGTATTTTTGCTGTTTCAGTAGGAAAACAGCTCTAGGTATTATAGAAAGACCCACTTATTCCTTTTCCTCTGTTACTATGATTATTGATGTTGTTATGTTCATTTTTGATAAGGTTACTAATGCTATAGGATTCCAAAGCTAAATCAGTCCAAAAATTATTAGACTTCATTTCCCCCAGTTTATTTATTGCTATATATTAAATAAGATATCTAAGTTTTAGATATTAAAATATTTATAAAGAAAATTTATTATTTTAAGGAAGGTTTTTCTTAGGGTACTTTTAGTACTTCTTAGTTATTTAACTTAGGTATTTTGTATTTTTTTATTGTTAATATAGAATTTATTTTTGAAGAAAATAAATAAGGTATATAATAACTTTAATCATTGTTTGATTTCTTCTCTCTTTTTAATAGTATGTGATTGTAAGCAGTAAGAAGATTCTTTTCTATGACAGTGAACAGGATAAAGAACAATCTAATCCTTACATGGTTTTAGATATAGAGTAAGTGTTTTTATTTAGAATATTGAGAAACTTTTTTCTCATTTTTTAAAGTATGATAAGAGAGTAAGGTGACTTTTTTGTCAAATTAGTGTAATTTATCTGTCATAAAGAACTCATAGTATAGCTACAACTGTACTGTTGACATTTTCTTATTCTTTGCTTCATACAGATAAAAGTCTGGGATGTAGAGTTAGCTAAAATATCTTTATTTCATGGGTCTTTAATATATTGTTTTCTGAAACTAATTAGAAAATGTCTGACATATTGGGAATTTCTCAAAATCTCAAGGAATGATTGAATTCCTATTTTCTATATGAGTCTAAAAGGGGTCAAAGTAAACTTCTGACATAAGTATAACTAATGTAACTTGATCCTTTGGTAATACTTTACTCCTTTATTAAAAATCTTTTATAGCAAGTTATTTCATGTCCGACCAGTTACACAGACAGATGTATATAGAGCAGATGCAAAAGAAATTCCAAGGATATTCCAGGTAAACATAGTTTGTTTTTTTCTTTTCTCATCTTTAGAGGTTCTAATAGGACAGAGATCAAATGTCTTTATTCTTGGGCCTTCTTCAGATTTCCTTTCTGTTTCAGTCACATTTAAAGATGGCTCTTTGTGTGTGTGTGTGAGAGAGACACACATGCTTCCTTCTGTTTGAATACATCTTCATTCCTTTCTCCATTTTACTTGTTAAAATAAAATCTGTAGTTTGTTTATACCATGTTTCTGGTCTTTGCTATCTTTTTGTTCTGTTATGTTGTGACTTTTTAATTCTTTTATTTTTTGGGGTGATCATGGCTGTCATACTGAAATAGTTCTGCCATATGATTTTTTTGGTTGTACTTTAGATGAAAGTTTACAGTGCAAACTAGCTTCTCATTAAACAATTAATACACATATTGTTTTGTGACATTGGTTGCCAACTTCACGACATGTCAACACTCTCCCCTTCTTGACCTTAGGTTCCCCATTACCAGCTTTCCTGCCTTCTCATCCTAGCCCCTGGGCTGGTGTGCCCATTTAGTCTCATTTTATTTTATGGGCCTGTCTAGTCTTTGGCTAAAGGGTGAACCTCAGGAGTGACTTCATTACTGAGCTAAAAGGGTATCTGGAGGCCATGTTCTTGGGATTTCTCCAGTTTCTGTCAGACCAGTAAGTCTGGTCTTTTTTTTTTTTTTTGAGTTAGAATTTTGTTCTCCATTTTTCTCCAGCTCTGCCTGGACCCTCTGTTTTGATCCCTCTCAGAGCAGTCGGTGGTAGCCAGGCACCATCTAGTGCTGGACTCAGTCTGGTGGAGGCCGTGGTATTTGTGGTCCATTAGTCCTTTTGACTAATCTTTCCCTTGTGTCTTTGGTTTTCTTCATTCTCCCCTGCTCCAGACAGGTGAGACCAGTGGAGTGTCTTAGATGGCCTCTCACAAGCATTTAAGACCCCAGTGTTGTGAGTTCTTAAATTATGAATTCTCTCGTTTTTGCTTTTATGCTAAGCTCTCTAGAAAGTTAAAAAAATCACTTCCGTGGTTAAATTTTACACCTCATAGACTTTTTATTTCTGAGTTAAAGTGAAGCTAAGTTCTTCCCTTTACTACTTCCATATTTCAAATTAGTCAAACCAACAGTTAGGTATTGAGTTCCTTCCGTATAAAAAGCTATTGTACTTGGTGTACTGTGGGGGAATTGATTCTTGTTTTATGGATACTTACAATGTTTATTTGGAGTATATTATATATCCTTTCACCCTTTTCTTTGCCCCCTGAACCCACCAAATACAAATCTTTTAAATTGGAGCTGTGTTTACAGTTACCACCCAGTTTTATGTATCACCTAGTTTTATGTTCTTAAGAACACCAGTTAATATAATTGCCACATTTCGTCAGGATATTGTTTTGAACCATCTTTCCCAGAAAAACTTTCTGACACTGATCAAGTGCAAATTTGCCCCTTGCTGACCTATTCTGATAAAGGTGCTAAAACATAGTAAGGTATTAGGGAGAAAATGAGCAATCGGTACTTGAGCAGGATTGATTCTTTTGAAATGTGAACCAAAGTGACTGTTGAATGACTTTTCTCAAAACTGCTCCTGATTAGGCAGAATCTACTTAGGTTTGAACTTTAATTGCATTTTTTTCTCAACTGAATAATTTTTGCTAATTGTTATTTATACTATCAGAATTGTTACTACATTAAAAAAGTTTATATTTGGAAATTATTCATTGTTCATTTTGATATTTATAGATTTTGTATGCCAATGAAGGAGAAAGTAAGAAGGAACAAGAATTTCCAGTGGAGCCAGTGGGAGAAAAATCAAATTATATTTGCCATAAGGGACATGAATTTATTCCTACTCTGTATCATTTCCCAACTAACTGTGAGGCTTGTATGAAGCCACTGTGGCATATGTTTAAACCTCCCCCTGCTTTAGAGTGCCGTCGCTGCCATATTAAATGTCATAAAGATCACATGGACAAAAAGGAGGAGATTATAGCTCCTTGCAAAGGTAAATAAATAGTAAATCACATGCTCCATCAATATTATTATGTTCAGGTCATTTTAAGCACACTAACTTTTTAAAAATATTTCTTTATAGTGTATTATGATATTTCATCGGCAAAGAATCTGTTGTTATTAGCAAATTCCACAGAAGAGCAGCAGAAGTGGGTTAGTCGGTTGGTGAAAAAGATACCTAAAAAGCCTCCAGCCCCAGACCCTTTTGCACGGTCATCTCCTAGAACTTCAATGAAGATACAACAAAACCAATCTATTAGACGGCCAAGTCGACAGCTTGCGGCAAACAAACCAAGGTAATAAATAAAATATTGGTAAAAAACTGAAAATTGTTTAATATTTTGCTTTTTGTATTCAAGCTAGAAATTTTTCTAATTACAGGTTTCCTTAATATTTTAATGTACTATGGAATACAATTATTTGAAACTATTTTAGTATGCATGCTTGATTTAGATGAAAGTAGAATAAATTTTTTTACTGAATCACACAAGTATATTAATTCAACCAAAAATATATAAAGGGTCCATTTTGTTTTTTTTACATATATATATAAAATCAATATTTTAGAATTGTTATAAATATGTTGAATAAGTAGATAGGATTAACATTGCACATATACCTTTTAAGTGTTAGGTACATACATTGCATTTAATATTGCAAAATATTTTATTTTTGATGGCTTGCAGGACAAGGTTGAAATCTTAAGTCGTAATTCAAATCTACAAGTTTAAAACAAACTTGTGTATGATTTTTAAAAAAGCAATATAGATGGGCTTTAAAATACAAATTCTGACTAATAGGTAAACATACCTTGTAATTGAGATGGGAGTTAGGAATATGAAGTAAGGTCAGGGAAGATCATTTTGCACATTACTAGTTAATTTTTAAAAACTAATCTTTTTCACAAGCATTTTGATATGACTACATTAAAGTAACTTAATTAAAATATCTTGGGTCAAAATAGTCATTTGTTCACTAGCTACTATAGCATTTAACTGTAAGCATTGCTATTCATTTACATGAACATGAAGATTTGGCTAGCTAAAGGAGAAAGTGTATACGTAGGCCAGTAGTTTCCTCTAATTTCAGGTATTCTTTTTGTTCCCTAATACAGGACCTTCAGTGTATGACTTATGATGCACATTGGCATATTATTAGAATCTTATTCTAACAGCAAACATATGAAACTTTCTTGAAATTAATATCTCAAGGAAGTAATTTAGAATAACAAAGGTAGAATTGGTGTTTCAGCAGTGAAAATGTTGAATATTTTGTGTGATGGATGATAAAACTAAATATTATAAAATTAATGATCTATGATAGTAATTAAGCTGAAGAAACTCAAAAGAATTAAGAGATACTAAAGGCCTTGCATTCCATATGCCTCGAGCAATTTGTCTAATAAATGAAGTTCTGTTAGTATTGTAGAACTACTAATGCATAAGTACTTTAATACCTCATAATATATACTGCATTCCAGCTTCCAAAGGCTTTCGTATATATTAATATATATTATATTCTCTCATATAACTTCTTATATATTCTTTCATGTGATCTTTAAAATAGTCATGTGAAGCAGAACAGGTATTGTTTTTGTTTGTTTGTTTTTTCCTATTGAGGCCCCCGAAGGGTAAGTAATTCATTTAGATCCAGAACTACAATGCATCAGAGAGGTTTTATAACTTATTTATATTTATTGTTAACAGAAACAGTGCGTGTGTGTGTATGTATGTATCTGTATATATGTATATATTTAAATACTTGTTCTTTTCTATTTCTAAATACTAGAAAGTAAATATGTTAATTATTTGGGAAAAATAATAGTTATATACCAAGTTGAGGTGTTAAAAAATAAATCCATAACTGAAGTAATGAGAATAGGTGAACATGTATCTGATCTTGGGGTTAGAGAAAGACTTTCAAAGAAAGAAAACATAAAGTCAAAGATTAGTAAATTGACTACCTGAAAATTAAAGCCTTGTAAATTTTTTAAAATACCATATATTTGCAATATATATGATAAAGATGAGTTAGTATCTTTATATAAAAAGTTCTCATAAGTCATTAAGAAAAAGAAGATTGCCTCTTCCCAATATAAAAATTAGTGAGGCATTGTAATATATGCAGGCATTATAATACAAATAGCTGTTAAATATTAAAAAGTGATGAACCTTATTGTTAAACAGAGAAATTCAAATTAAGACTATAATGCAAAACCATTCTTCACCTGCCAACCTGGCAAGGATTAAGAAACTCAACATTGGTAAGATGTAAAGAAATGGGCACTGTCGTATACTGCTAGTTGAACTCAAAATTAATGCAGTCTTTGAGTATGTTTTATAAGCCTGAAGTGTATACCCATTTTACAATACTATGTACAACGTTGTGCATAATAGCGACATGAACAGAGTGTTACATGGGAACAAAGAAAAGCATGGGTAATTCTGACTGAGGGCATTAAGAGGTCTCAAAAATTGGAGGATCAGTTGTTTTCCAGGCAAAGAAATAAGGGAAAAGACAGTTCTAGGCATAATGTGATATGCAGAGTTATTAAGCTGTCAGAGTTATTTACGTGTTTGTAATGTATTGCAAGGCATTAGTGGTTCAGTTGTAGAATTCTCACCTTCCATGCCATAGACCTGGGGAATGCGCTTCATGCACTGCCACCACCAGTCTGTTAGTGGTAGCTTGAGTGTTGCTATGATGCTGAAAAGGTTTTAGCAGAACCTCCAGACTAAGACAGACTAGGAAGAAAGGCCTAGTGATCTACTTCCGAAAATCAGCCAGTGAAAACCCTGTGCATCACAATGATCCAATCTGCAGTGAATCATGGGGATGGTGCAGGAACAGGCAATGTTTTGTTCATTTGTGTTGGGGCCAACTGAAGGACACTGTACTGAGTAGTGCTGGGATGAGGATAGGACCCCTGGTGGTACAGTGGTGAAGCGCTCACCTGCTAACCAGGAGGTTGGCAGTTTGAACACACTAGACACTCTTTGGGAGAAATGTGGCACAGTCTGCTTTGATAATGATTACAGCCTTGGAAACCCTAAGGGGCAATTCAGCTCTCTCCTGTAGGGTCACTATGAGTCAGAATTGACTCTACAGTAATGGGTTTTGTGGGGAGAGGATAGTGACAGGGAGAGGTAGATGAGGCTGGAGAGAATGCTTTGAGCCAGATTAAAAAGGGCCATGCGTACTGTGGAAAACCTTTTGGCGTAGTGGTTAAGAGTTTGGCTGCTAACCAAAAGGTCAGCAGTTTGAGTCCACCAGGCGCTCCTTGGAAACCCTGTGGGGCAGTTCTACTCTGTTCTGTAGGGTTGCTATCAGTTGGAATCCACTCGACGGCAGCGGGTTTTTTTTTATGCATACTATGCTAAATTGGTATGTTTAGACTTAATGAAGTCCTGAACTACAGTACTGACAGTGAAAATGAAGAGAAGAAACACAGTTTCTGAAGGATTTTTTTTAAAAATAATATTTTATTAGGTTTTCAGTGAAGGTTTACACAGCAGTTTAGGTTCCCATTCAACAATTTCTACACAAATTGTTCAGTGACATTGGTTACATTCTTCACAATGTGTGACCATTCTCAATACTTCCATTGTGGTTGTGTTTTCATTAATCTAGTTTCCCTGACCCCTTACATTCTTATCTTTGTTTTAAAGTAATTGTTGACGGTTTGGTCCCATATAGATGATTTTTTAGAGGAGCACAGTCCTTATGGGTGATACTCTTTATTTTGTGAGCCATCAGAAGAATTTAAGTTGAATGACCAGAATTAGGCACACATTCCAAAGGTTCTGGAAGGGTATGTGTCTTAGTTATCTATTGCTGCTGTAACAGAAATTTCATAAGTGGGCGGCTTTAACAAACAGAAATTTATTTTCTCACAGTTTAGGAGACTAGAAGTCCGAATTCAGAACACTGGCTCTAGGGGAAGGCTTTCTCTTTCTGTTGGCTCTGGAGGAAGGTCCTTGTCTCTTCAGCTTTTGCTTCCTGGTTCCTTTGAGATGTCCATGTGTCTTGGCATCTATCTATTTTACCCTGTCTCTCCTCTGCTTGCTTGTTTAATCTCTTTTATATCTCAAAAGAAATTGACCCAAGATACACCCTACACTAATCATGCCTCATTAACATAACACAGACAATCCATTCCCAAATGGAATTTTAACCACAGGCATAGAGGTTAGGATTTACAGCACGTATTTTGTGGGGGAGGGGGACATAATTCAATCCAGAACAGTAGGAAATGATAGATTTTTCATAAAGTATGCTAGAATTGAGGCTTGGACACCCAAGAAGGATTTCCAATACTGAGTTCTTCTCATTCTCCCAAGCAGTAAGCTGAAACCATAGCTAAAAGTTACTTTATATTTAAGCCTATAAAAATGAGAACAGTAAAACCCGTGAAAGGTGGGAATCTGTCAGAGAAGGAAAACTCACATATTTTCCACTAATAGAGAGCGATAGAGAAGTGGTAAGACTCCACCCTGTCAAAGACAGAAAACTTTATGAGACTTGGAAAAACAAGGCAGTCCCATTGAGTTCCAGCTCTCTGTATAGGTTTCACTGTGTATATTAAGCTATTATAAGTATTATTAAATGAATAAGTAATTATATCTAAGTGTGCGTGTTTCTTCAGATATTGTTCTGCATTCATCACATTTTGAAATGAGTAATTAAAGTTGGTTTACTTTTAAATTAGGGGAGTCATCCATCAACCTATTCTGTCAGTGTCAACTGCATCAGAATTCATCCCAGGTTTTTTATTTTAAAAATGCAAATGCTTGCACCGCTACTTCAGCCCAGTTGTAGAAGAATCTCCTGGGATGGGGCCTGGGAATATGCATTATTAAAGCATTAGGGGAATTATATTTACTAAAGTTTAAAAACCACTGATGCAGTGATTACAGGTGAGACTTTGGGAAGCAGATGAGTTCCTTGTCACAAGCTGATTCATGAACGTCACAATTATTAAAGATGAAAAGACCACACATAACTCTGCTCTAAGTCCAGTTTATTTGTATGACTCCCCTTTTATACTGGGGCTTATGTTAGTATTCTGGAAAAATGTGAACTGACCCTCTGGGCACTCTTGTGAAGGGAATGTTCTTAGAGCTCAAATCAAATTGGGTGTCAGCATGGCTACAGCTTCATCTGGGGAGAAAACCCCGTGCATGTCTTACTATTCCCAAATACTATCTCTGTCTTCGCCCCTCTGGTATTCTGGAAAGCATACCTGGCCAACATAATCGTATGCATTTTCCCTATATGCTTCTAATTTCAATCGTATGGTTATCTGTGAAGGGAAAGAAAGTGCTCAGAACACATTAGAAGTGTGATTTCTACATCCTAGCATTAAACTGTAGTTTTTAAAGAGTGTTAGTATATAAATTTGCAAACCTCCTATTGCAGATTGCTTGATTTGGCATTTAAGGACTGGGATTGGTCATTTGATGATGGTGATGATGGTGATGATGATGATGACGATGTTTTTGATTTCTGAAGAAATAAATGGGGTAAATCAAAAAATGAAAAATGAGTTATTTTATTTCTAAGTAGTGCATGTGGTTTGCACTTGGGCTTTCATTATTTTTGACTCGTTTTGAAATTTTGTGATGTTGTTTTAATAATGTATATTTTAAAAGTAGTTTTTAAAAAAAGTTTCTAACTGAAATTCCTGTGCTAAGTGTAAAAGTGAAATGCTATGTTCAGATTCTTTATTGGCTGTAAATTGTCAATACACTTGGGATTACAGTTTTTTATCTTAGGAATGAAACATGTAGAAATAACAAAAGGAGTTAATTCTGGTACTTTCTATTCATTCCAAGGAAGCCATATCCAGAGGAGAAATAAATTTGACAATGTTTTCAACTTCCTAAAACTGTTATTAGTTTGTGAACATAGCATGGGATTCCTTCCTACTTCCCTCCCTCTCTTCTTCTTTCCCTCTCTGTCCTTCTTTCTAACTTGCAAGAATTGAAACCATGAGAACTTTGTAAGTCTAGTAAGCGCTGTGAATAGCTTTTTCTGATTTGGCTTTCTTTGTGATGTGTGAAGTGTTTGCTTTTTGAGAATTTAATGTTACCCTTGCTGAAGAATGCTAATGACATGTTGTAGAAGTTCTTGTGCTTTTAGGAAACGAAAGTAGTTTATAATGGCTAATATTTGAATGAAAGTTGAGCCTCATGAATTAAACCTTTTACATGGAATGGATTTATAAGAAGTAATGTCTGTCTTAAGGAAGCATGTTGCAAAACAAATACTACAATCATATAAAATTGCGATCTATTTATAAGCAGGTTTTACAGAGTATTTTCACATATGTTTAATTTCATGGATAAGGAAAATGTGGCTCAGGGTCAAACAGCGAACTAGAACCTAGTCCGTAAATCCACTGCTCTTTCAACTGTGTGAAGCAGCTAGTAGTTGAACCCCAAATCAAACTTATACTCAGTTGTGTTATTCTGTGATATATTCTTTAACCCTAATAGCTAGTTAATTGTATTAAAACTTGTTGTGTGGGCAGTCTGGTACTTCCAAAATCCATAGTTGTATTGAGAAAGAATATAATTGCATGTACCTAAAAACGGGGTAAGTCATACAGTAAGTATGCTTCTGCATGATTTAGGTATTAAAAGTATAGTAATTAAATGACAGTATGGTTTAATAATGTAATTAAAATGCCTTTTCAAAGAATTGAACAGTCTCTTAAATTATTTCACTATATATCCTAACTTTGTTTTTTCTCTTTTTCTAGCTAACTGCCTTCTATGAATGCAGTCATTACTCCAGGTGATCATATTCTTCTTCCAGTTAAAACAAGACTGAAATATGATGGCCCAAAATTTATTAAAAAGCTATATTTTCCTGAGAGACTGATACCTATACACATATACATATTATATGTTCCCCTTCGGTATAAATTACAAATCTTGGAGAGATTTTCTGGACTCCTTTGAAGCAATGAGTGGAACCAACAGTGATTGGTTGATAGAGTAAGGATACCATATGCAACCCTTCCAGACTGATTCCATAAAGCTCTCTTAGCAGTCACTCACACTACATTGCCCAAAAGGATTGAGAATAGTTAAAGTTTAAAGAAATCATCTTTTCAGCTTCAACAGAGAGATTTCACCAGCACATTTACCAGAAGAATCTGGGAGTGGATTCCACTACAGTGATAGAGACTGCATCTTTAAGAAGTAACCATTATACTGTCTGTGTATGTGTATATATTTATATATATATACACATACATACATATATATGTATATATATAGTACTGTAATACTGCAAGAGGGTTTTTTAAATTTCCCACTTTATTTTTTATACACATTAATCAGATATCATTACTTACTGCAGTTGCAACTATGCACTTGTATAAAGCCATAATGTTGGTTTATATCATTCATTCATGTGGACCTGATGGAAGCTGCATGTTAATGTTAAGCAATTAATGTAACAGAGTTTGAAATTAATTATATCAGTTTCCTAATGCTTCGTAATAGGCAACTTTACCCATTTTGAATGCCTTAATTTAATTTTTTTTCAAAGTCTTAGCCCTTCAGCTGTATTTTTTTTAAAAACAAGTGTTTGTTTACCGCTAGTAGGATGCAGATTTGCTTTGTGGAAGAAAAATAGTGCACTATTTTACACATAATAGTTATATCAGTGTCAGCCTACTTTGATTGTATAACAGTTTCTTTTTTTAAGTATTGGTCATAGAAACAATAATGGATAGTATTCAAACTAATATATCTTTGATGTATATCTATTATTCATCCAACCCCTTTTACAGACCTCAGTATTAGTCTGTGACTTAATAAGTGCTATGAAATGTTTTCTTTGCTTTGAATTTGCTGGGTATCCTAGATGTGTCTTTATTTCTGGTAAAAAAAAAAAAAATTGTGACTATTTTTACATTTCATACTCAAAATTCAAAAATTGTCTCAAATATAAAGAAAACTAAGACATACTGTAGATATATTTTAAATATTTAAATGTGATCCTCAAACACAACTCTGTATGGCAATATTTCAGTATCGGGTAAAGAAAACTAATAACTGGGAAGAAACGGCCTCAAAGGCACTTAATTTTATTTTTATTTTTAAAATGCTATTAAAGTTACAGTTTAGGCAGGCCCAGTCCTGCTATATTTCTCATAATACCAGAAGAGTGTGTGTTTATACCACTACAGTATGCAGCAATGGTGATCGAGTGAAAGAAAAAAAAACCGTAGTATTTTATCAGTCTCTCTATATACACATACAGAGTGTGGTAGGATATTGAAATACACCAATATTCAATGAAGAAAGTAGCCATTTCATTGGTTCCCTCTAGGGGCAGTGTAGAGATGTTTAAAGAGTTAGATCCCCAATTATAGATAATATTGTGGAAATTGAAAAGTGGCCTACTGATAAACTGAAACTGAATTTTGTTTTTCTCGTCACCAAATCTGCACTCTTCCGTGCTGACTGTGCTAAAACTAGATATGCATACCATTTCCCTCGCAGATAGGTTTCCTGCAGTTCTGGTTTTGAGGCACAGCATTTTTTTTTTAAAGTTTAAGATTAAAAATGAAAAATATATAAAATTTATATAGAATAATTATTTCCATTCATTAGACTTGTTAAAAGGAGACTGAATTAATATTTTATATAAAGATTTTGCTACATTATGGGAGGTTCTATCCTATTATTCAGAATTGGAGAGTATATATATATATATTTTTAATAAACTTTATTAAGATGAAATAATTTGAAGTTTACACATGGGTAATTGAAATATTTGAGTAAAAATATGAAAGTTTAAATTTTGAATGCTGTATATATTAGAGAATATGGAGAATCATGATGTGATGCAACTGTATAAGGAAAATTAATGTGAAGTTTTTTTGAGGGGGATAAAAAGATTTTCTGAGGGGTTAAAAACAATCTCTCCCATGGAGATTCTTCACATTATATGGTTTGACATGAGGATTTACAAGGTTGTTTGTCCAACTAATGGAAATGCGCTTAATAAAAATTTCGGACATTGGGTAAGAATTTGCTTTTTACCCCGTTGCTGCTTTCACGTACATTTCATGTGCATGAGTGCGTGCATCTATCCAAATGTTCTCTTCCCAACACTCATTAAATATGATACTGACTTGGTTGAACAACCTGATTTTGTGCCAGTTTCTCCTTTTTTTTTTGAGATCCTGAAGCTTCCAAGATAAATCTTCTATAAGAGCAAGAGTTGCTTATTTCCTTACGCCTGATTTCTCCTAGAGCCATAAATACCTCCTATGGGGAACTAAGAAATAGTGAGTACTGGGATTTTCTTAGTTGGATTTTTTACTTTTGTGGGGCTAGCAAGACAAGTAGAAGGGAAACTGGTGCCGGTATTACTGTTAAAATCAATGTATAGTGAATATTTTTTAAAGTATTAATTTAAAAAAAAACATGCTATCTAGAAGCAAGATTTTTTTAAATCTATCTGAAAGCTTAAAATGTGTTAGTTAACTAAAGGATACATATACCAATAAATTTAAAATAAAGGTTAGTGTTTTTAAAACTAACCTATGCGAGAGTTATGTAGATCTGGCTCTGAAGGATCTACTTTGCATTACTTTATTTGCAGATCCTAAACAAAATGTACTCTAGGTTTTGCCAAACCACAGTTTAAGAAGTTATGCTGCTGTTGTTAATCTATTCTTACAGGATTCTGGTGGTAAAATAGAGAAACTCAGATAGTACATTACCTTAGTGAAACATGATTTAAATTACATGCTTAAAATTCAGTTAAAGCAAGTCACTTCTGAGTTTCTCAGACTGTCTTGACACTGCTACTGACTCACCTCTCCTTCCCTGGAATCAGGCTTCAACTTCCTGATGTTGTGAAGATACCATAGTTGATTTGTAAAGCACTTTGAAGATAAGCACTGTGTAACAGTGCTAAATATTATGGTTGGAGGCCTCTCCTTTGATTCCCTTCCCCGTAATAAGGAATTTTGTTTGGAATTGTAATAAGTTATGAACTGCATGGTTTAGATAATCATAAATATTTGATCCCTTTGAACAAAAATCGAACACCTTGATTTTTCTTTTTTTTTTAAATTTTGTTGCATCTTTGTAGTAATGTAATTGTATTTTATGCCTGCTTTTTATAAAAAAAATTAAATAAAAGAAATTAAGATGTAAGCATTTTCATACTTTTCCTGAGAAACAGTACTGGAATGCTGCAGTTTTCTAAAAGTTTATCATAAAAGTATGCCTTCCGTAAAAGATGGGTGTAGCAAACAAGTCCTGTAACAACCACCAAGTTGTCATCAAGTTGATTCCAACTCATGGTGTGACCCCCATGTTGTCAGAGTAGAACTGTGCTCCGTAGGGTTTTCAGTGGCTGAATTTTCAGAAGTAGATCACCAGAACTTTGCTTCTGAGCTGCATCTGGGTGGAGTGGAACCTCCAGTCCTTTGGTTAGCAGCTGAGAGGGTTAACCATTGCACCACCCAGGGACTCCAGCAAGTCTTATAACTAAGGTTATATAGACTTGCAATTTTTCTACCTTGTCATCTAGTTCATGGAAAAATCAAAACAGAATTTCAACAGGGAGCCTGTCTTGGCTTTGATTTGATTTTGGTGTGTAAAGGACCTACAAACCTAACCAGCCCATTTCAGTCGCTGAGGATAGGAAGGAGTAGGATGCTTGTTTTGTCAGGAATAGTGTGCTGATAGGTGGTTTCCTAGAAAGAGCATTTTCTCTGGTAGTCAGGGTTGTTTTTTCCTAGGCCACTTATTAGCTGTCATCTTGGGCAAGTTATTAACTCTGAAACTTTTTTTTTAATCTGTAAAATGGAGATTATGTTTACTTTATAGGATGATTGCAAGATTAAATATGATGTGTATAAAATACCTAGAATAATTCAAATGTTTGTTCCCTTCCCTCCCAAAAGGGAAAAATGGAGAACTCTTCACCTAAAATAGTATATCCTTAAAGAAGTTGCTTTAAGCAGTGATAAAGTACTAACAACAAAAAGTATATATAAAAATATTTGTTGGAATAAAAATAGTCACATAATTCGTATTTATACTTATGGACAGATCATAACTGCATAAGAAAAGATTAACTTACTTGGATTTTTCACAAATGACAACTATGATTTAGTTGTCAACTGCGGAATCAATAATTTATTTTTAGATACCATATTTTTCTTCCTATTGGTCCCAAGCAGTAGTTTTAAAAGGATTAGCCACAGTTTAAATTCAAAAACTGTATGTTATACTTAAATCACATTAAAATGACTGACAGTGTAAAGACTCAGCAGAGTTCAAGATAAAGTTTATTTTACATAGGACACTAGACATTTACTTATTACATATAAAAGAATAATGACATTCAGTTATAAGGGGGAAATACATTTTTAAATGTTAGGGTTTCTAGAATTTTAGAGGAAAATATGATGTACAAAAATCTTAACATGTTTAGAATAAAATACTGTAATGAGCATAAAATTCATAAGAATTGAGCAGAACCTAGCAATACCCTTTACTGCATATATTTTCAAAGATAAAACCTGATCCAGGTCAGCTGTATTTTGTACCAAATTCCAATAGCGATAATTGTGTACATGTGGCTGTTTTAAAAATGGCAGCACTGTGGTTGAATCAGAATGTTTGTTGGGATTGCCACATAAATATAGATTGCAGTTAATAGTACCTTTTTAAGGTAATTACTTAAAGGCACAGTGTGAAGTTAAAGGCTATCTTGGTGTGCAAACTCAAGTCAAATTACATTTATGCTTCCTTTGATATCCTTGCTGTAGCCTAAGGAGCTTACTATATTCTGACATGATAAGACCATCCTGTTATATCTGTTACAATTAAACTTTAGTCCCAGAAAATGAACCTTAGTAATTTACAGTTCTACTTCTGAATCTGAGCATAATCCCCCTCCATTTGTATTCATTTGTGTTGGAGAGGAATTATTCTTAAAAGATTTTGAGAGCTGAGAAATTGATGTAGTTAGCTCTTTGGAGAGAACTTAATCATGTCTTCAGGGTGACAGTCAAAGTGGTCTCAAAATGAGCTTCTTAGACTATTTCTGTCAGTCATCAGCCTTCTCAAAACTGCAGATCTCTGAGCCCTACCACAACCTAATGACTTGAGGGGAGGGGAGAGAGAATTCGGCATTTTTAAACCAGTGTTTCAGTGGCTCGCTCAAGTCTAAAACACCTTCAGCTTTAAAGTTTCTGAAATGGTTGACTAAATTAAAGACTTTAATTTAGCAATGAGCTGTTTTTCCTTTGGTTCAGCTATTTGAAATCCACTTTGTGTGTAGGAATATGTATCCGTCATTCAGCCTTTACAGTGGTCTTCCGGAAACGAAGTACTGTAGCTGTTACCCATATATTGAAAGCCAGCATGATCATAAAACGTATAAGAACTGAAATCAGCCAAAAAGAAAGAAAAAATAAGTATTAAGAAAAATGCTGTTTTCACATTACCACTGCCGTCGATTCCAATTCATAGTGACCCCGTAGGGTTTCCAAGACTGTAAATCTCTGCAGAAGCAGATTGCCACATCTTTCTCCCATGGAGAGACACTGGTGGTTTTGAACCGCCAGCCTTTCAGTTAGCAGTCCATCGCTTTAACACTGTGCCACCAGGGCTCCTTGTTTTCACATTACAGAACAAAACTACCTCCTGCTCTAAAAAGAAGCCTAAGTTCTTCACCCCCCAAAATAAAATACGTATGGATTATGAGAACTTTTAAACTTTGGCTCCAGATAGTTCTGGGGAAATGATCTTATCAAGACAGCTACCTTTGGCCACTTGGCCTGATTTAGGCTGAGTTCTCAACTCCCAAATCAAACATATATAAATCTTTGGAAAATGATTAAAATAGATGGTAGCACCTAGTCTATGAAGATTAGAAATAAGTTCCTGGCACATAAGTCAAAAACCAAACCCGTCTCCATCAAGTCGATTCCTACTCATAGTGACCATGTAGGACAGAGTAGAACTGCCCCATAGGGTTTCCAGAGAGCAGCTGGTGGATTTGAACTGCTGACCTTTTGGTTAGCAGCCAAGCTCTTAACCACTGCGCCACCAGGGCTCCACATAGACACTTTGAATAAGCTAAAGTATTTTCTCCTCCATCACAGCACCCCTTTAAAAACAACAGAACAAGAGAATGAAATCAAATGACGTGTCATTCCCGTGCTTTAAAAAGCCTTCAGAGGCTTCCCACTGCTTGTGGGCAATCTAGACTCTGGGCGGTTTGGCCACTGCCAGCCTGCCCTCCTACTCTCACACACTCATTCCCCATCACTCCCCGGGCACTCCGCACTCCAGCCCCGCTGGTGCTCTCAGGGTCCTGAGGCATGTATCCTCGTGGCCTTCACACAGGCTGCTGATCCATGTAAGCAATCTCTTCTCCACCCTTTTCTCTGATTAAATGTCCACTCATCTTTAAGATCTCTTCAAATTAATCTTCCCAGCTCCCTCAAACTAGGTCCAGTTCCCCTGTTAGGTGCTAATCCTGTACTACTCACTGAAAACTCTTCACAATACAGTAAGTCCCTAGGTTCTGTCTGACTTAGGGACAACTGGTACTTGCCCATTAATGTTATGTAAATTTGCCCTCAGTTTGAAACAACTGAGCTGGTCTTGATGCTTCATCACAATCACTTTCACTTGCTGCACATGCAGCTTTTAAATCACTGAAGTTCTCGAGCCTTTTCTTGCATTAAAGCAAGGCTAAATAAGAACTCTATGCACCTATTCCAACTTACCTACAAATTCGACTTAAAGACACACTTAGGATCTTGTTCATAACCTGGGGAGTGCCTGTATACTATGCTTCAGCAGTTAATTGTGTGATTACTTCACTGTCCATTTCCACTGAAGGAATGGAAGCTCCTTAAAGATTACTATCTTGTTCGTATTCTTTTCCAGGTACTACAAGAAGTTGTTGTGGACCGTCAGTGACCCTATAGGATGGAGTAGAACTGCCCCATAGGGTTTCCTAGAGCTGATCACCAGGTGCTTAATATTATGGATGGTGACTGGTGAAGACTAGGAATACACTGCTGCTGTCCTCTAAATTTATAATCCAGCAGAGCCGAGGTGATCTATTAAACCCTGAGACAATGTACAAATGAAGTAGTTACAAACAGCATAAAACTCAAAAAGGAAGTAGGGATAAAAATATGTATTTTGCTTACTTGTAAGATCACTGGTGGTAATTAAAGTTGTTATTATTCTTGCTGTAAGAGAAAAGTTTTCATCAATTAATATCAACTTGCTTCTCAGGAATAATGGTGTTTAGCTAATGTCCTTCCCTTTTAAATACAGAGATATATCACTGTTAACTGTTCTTGAAAGGTTTTAGTAATGCAGAAAACTTAGTACTATATTTCATAAAACATTGAAAATCTAGCCATGTATCCTAGTCCAGTGGTTTTGAAACTGCTCATAAGAGCAGAGTCTGTGCCTAGAAGGTGCTTAGGTACTACCCAGGAAGGCAGGGTTAGACTGAACTTCCTTCCACTGCCTGTATGTGCCAGCCCACAACTCCCTTCTCCACCCCCAGAAAGCAGCTTTTAAAAAAATCTCATTTATACATTAAGCTTCTAGGTAAGATTTCTTTTTTAAAAAGGCTCCTACTAATTAAAAACAATGTTTTTAAATCACTGAATTCTACCCCCTTATTTCATAGATGGAAACCCTGGTGGTGTAGTGGTTAAGACCTATGGCTCCTAACCAAAAGGTCAGCAGTTCAAACCCACCAGGTGCTCCTTGGAAACTCTATGGGGCAGTTCTACTCTGTCCTGTAGGGTCACTATGAGTCAGAATTGACTCAGTGGCAATGGGTTTCTTTTTTTTTTGGTATTTCATAGATAAGGAAACTGAGACCCGGAAAGGGGTATGATTTTCCTAAGGGTCTAACTTGTGGTTAGGTGCTGTCGAATCGGTTCCGACTCATAGTGACCCTACAGGACAGAGTAGAACTGCCCCATAGGGTTTCCAAGGAGCAGCTGGTAGATTTGAACTGCTGACCTTTTGGTTAGCAGCCGAGCTCTTAACCACTACGCCACCAGTGCTACAAGGGTCTCACTAGAACTGCTTAATTTAACACATTTGCCTATACCACTTCACTTAGTAAACACTTAGGAAAATGGTCACTTTTACCACATACGAGGGACCTGAAATGGGAATCAGAGAACACCACTATGTACAACTCACAGTATACCTTTCCTAACCCAAAATCCATGAAAAGTTCTCCCCCTGCTTAACATGTTTTACATTTAGCATACATTGACATAGTAGCTTTTTAGTCTCATATTCCAACTCAACTGTATGCTCCTGAAGGGCAGGAACCAAGTCTTAGAAAAATATTTGTTGCCAAATTTGCTAACTCAAGGCTTTGCACACAGACCTGTAAGTAGTTGTTGACTAAATCAACAATGTAAGTGGATCTTAATAGATGGAGAGAAGACACCATCCAGTTCAGAAGACTGCCAACTAAAGGGTTCTTCTGCAAACTCAAAAAGACTTCTAGTAAATGTTACCTGTTAATAACTGGCTCCAAGATGAACTAGAATATAATAGCCAACTTAAAGGGAACTAGGGTAACTTTGCTAAAAATGCACCTTTATTCATTTCTAAATTGATGCTGAAGTTGCTAGCCTACTCTGTCAAAAGGAACACTGGGTTTAAAACCAGTTCATTTTTTCCCCCATAAAATTATAGTCTCCAGTTCATTTTTCATCTATTCAATAAATATTTAAATACTTGTTAAGCACAGAACTCCATACAAAATAAATGTAATCCATGGTCTCTGCAGTTACAAGTTCCCAAGATTTCCTAAAAGAACTTAGTAAGCAAAATTTAAAGATGGAAGTACTTTAAGATAAATTAGAGGGCTAATAAATAATATATATAATTAGCTGTTCTAAAAACTATACATGTATTACACAATAGCACTTCAATATTTTAAAGCCAAAAATAAAACTCAAGGATAAGATATTTAAATAAATTTTTAATAACTTTTGACATAAAGATCCATGCCAGCAATCCTGGATGGAGAAACTGGTCCTTTAAGATGTAGAAGAATCAGATGAAGTAGAATTAAAATACCTAAAACTAGTAAATCTAATGTGATAGCTATGCCTTTTAAAATGTCTCTACCTATATATCACACATATATATCTTAGGTGGTTCTTGCAAGAACCCAGATAAACAGTGGAAATTCTAAAGTTGAGACCAAAGTAGCTCCTGAAAAACTCCACTGCTACAAAATCTATCCATGCTCAAAAGCCAATGTATGATTTTCTTAATCAGATCTTTTTAATCTGTTACATCACAAAGATTCCAAATTTTAAAACAAATGAGTGGATTCAATATATGCAACCTCTTGAAGTTGTCAAAGAACAGGAGAGGATTGTTAACATCGGGGCAGATTTTTGGAGAGACGTGTGCTTTCACTTTTTTTTTTTTTGGCAACTGGAATACAAATCTTGAAGAAAACGGCGAATAGTCTGCATTAAATCAGCCTTGTAAATACTCTTATCTAGTAATGTTATATCTCAATCTTGTTGCCACTGAGTCAATTCCGACTCATACCGACCCTATAGGACAGAGTAGAACTGCCCCATAGGGTTTCCAAGGAGTGGCAGGTGGATTTGAACTGCCAGCCTTTTGGTTAGCAGTCAAGCTCTTAACCACTGCACCACCAGGGCTCCCTGTATCTCGGTAGTGATTAGCAAAGCTCAAGGGATCGTGACAAATTAACACCCCAAGTTAACACCTCTTCCAGGCAGACAGCTGATGCTGACAAAGGACTCCCCAGCATTTGAGTCTTTCTCTTACTTGCACAGGTGTAAGAAGAGAGGCTCCACGTCAGGGCACTCACAGCTCCCGAGTCCCTTGTCTTCCACAGATACTGGAGCTGAGCAAACTTACTGGCCGCACTAATGAAGGTACATAAATTCTGTTTGCAGATAAAAAGTGAGAAAGTCAGGAGTCCATTTGTTAAAACTGCAAAAGAACATCAGGTACAGAAAGCACTTTTGAAGCCATATTTTCAGGATAAGTAATAACCAACTTGTACTTGATTGAAACCTAAGTTTGGTGTGAACAGAATGCAATAGTGAGACATCTATTTATAACCCACTAATTCCAAATTTTGGGTCATTCAACCACGAAGTTCACTGAAGCATTTTAATGATGAAAGGGAAGCCCTGTGCTCCAAGCATTGTGTTCCAGGCATCGGGGCATGTTGAAGGCAAACACTGTCCTGGTCTCAAAGTATTTAGTCTACAGAAGGGGGATGGACGAGCAGATAACGGCAACACAGAATGATAAACTCAGTAGCACAACACAGTGGCCCGGGAAACTAAGACCCAGAGGGTCTCAAAAGTGGCATGCTTAATGTCCAATGAAAAAAGGTTTTTATTTAACAAACATGTATATGTTGTTGTTAATTGCCCTCGAGTCAGCTCTGACTCAAAGTGGCCTTCTGTATAACAGAATGAAACTTTGCACAGTCCTACACCATCTTTGATATGTTTGAGTCCACTGTTGAGGCTATTTTGTCGATCTGTCTCACTGAAGGTTTTCCTCATTTTCGCTGATCCTCTACCAAACATGATGTCCTTTTCTAGCGACTGGTCTTTCCTGATGTGACCAAAGTAAGCAAGACAAAGTCTGGCCATCCTTACTTCTAAGGAGCATTCCGTTGTATTTCTTTTAAGACTGATTTTTTCTTCTGAGAGTCCATGGCATAGTCAATATTCTTTGCCAACACTACAATTCAAATGCATCAATTCTTCTTCTGTCCTTTTTTCATCGTTCTTACTATTTACTAGAAACTGTTCTAGCTTTTTTATAAATAGTAAGTCATTTAATTCTCATAATAATCCTATTAGGTAGTCACTATTATTACCCTCATTTTATAGATGAGGAAACTAAGGCACAGATTGCTTACATAACCTTCTAAAGATCGTACAGCTAGTAGGTGGGTTATAGACCCCGGCAGTCTCGGGCCAGAATCCATGTTCTAAACCACTACCTTATGCTGCCTAGGAAGTAATTCTTTGGGTTACTGCTTTAGTTTGAAGGGAAATAAAAATATCTATATGTAATCCAATCCTCTTGAAAAGGAAGTAATACTGCTACTGTAAATAGAAAGGGAGAGACAATGTAATTTACTTTATCTATGTAAAGCCCAGACCCTAACTGCAAATAACAAATTGGAGCTGATGAGGTATTTACATAAAAGAGAAAATTTTCCCCACTTTAAGGGAGCGGGGAAGCTCTTTTAATATCCTACCATCATCAGCATTTGAATATGCAAACCCTGTTATTGTTATTTGTTGTTAGGTGCCGTCGAGTTGGTTCCGACTCATAGCAACCCTATGTACTACAGAACGAAACACTGCCAGGTCCTGCGCCATCCTCACAATCGTTGTTATGCTTGAGCCCATTGTTGCAGCCACTGTGTCAATCCATCTCGTTTAGGGTCTTCCTCTTTTTTGCTGACCCTCTACTGTTCCAAGCATGGTGTCCTTCTCCAGGGACTGATCCCTCCTGACAACATGTCCAAAGTATGTAAGACATAGTCTCGCCATCCTTGCTTCTAAGGAGCATTCTGGTTGTACTTCTTCCAAGACGGATTTGTTTGTTCTTCTGGCATTCCCTGGTATATTCAATATTCGTTGCCAACATCACAATTCAAGGGGGTCAATTCTTCAGTGTTCTTTGTTCATTGTCCAGCTTCGCATGCATATGATGCAATTGAAAATACCATGGCTTGGGTCAGGCACACCTTAAGTCTTCAAGGTGATACCTTTACTTTTCAACACTTTAAAGAGGTCTTTTGCAGCAGTTTTTCCCAATGCAACGTCTCTTGATTTCCTGACCCTTGCTTCCATGGGCGTTGATTGTGAATCCAAGTAAAATGAAATCCTTGACAACTTCAATCTTTTCTCCATTTACCATGATGTTGCTTATTGGTCCAGTTGTGAGGAGTTTTGTTTTCTTTATGTTGAGGTGTAATCTATACTGAAGGCTGTGGTCTTTGATCTTCATCAGTAAGTGCTTCAAGGCCTCTTCACTTGCAGCAACCAAGGTGGTGTCATCCACATATCGCAGGTTGTTAATGAGTCTGCCTCCAATCCTGATGCCCCGTTCTTCTTCATATAGTCCAGCTTCTCGGATTATTTGCTCAGCATACAGATTGAATAGGTATGGTGGAAGGATACAACCCTGACACAGCCCATCCTGATTTCAAACCAAGCAGTATCCCCTTGTTCTGTTCAAACGACTGCCTCTTGGTCTATGTACAGGTTCTTCATGAGCACAATCAAGTGTTCTGGAATTCTCATTCTTTGGAATGGTATCCATAATTTGTTATGATCCACACAGTCGAATGCCTTTGTATAGTCAATAAAACACAGGTAAGCATCTTTCCGGTATTCTCTGCTTTGAGCCAGGATCCGTCTGACATCAGCAATGATATCCCTGGTTCCACGTCCTCTTCTGAATCTGGCTTGAATTTCTGGCAGTTTCCTGTTGATATACTGCTGCAACCACTTTTGAATGATATTCAGCAAAATTTTATTTGCATGTGGTATTAATGATATTTTCGATACTTTCCGCAATCTGTTGTATCACCTTTCTTGGGAATAGGCATAAATATGGATCTCTTCCAGTCAGTTGGCCAGGTAGCTGTCTTCCAAATTTCTTGGCATAGACGAGTGAGCACTTCCAGTGCTGCACCCGTTTATTGAAACATCTCAATCAATATTCCGTCACTTCCTGAAGCCTTGTTTTTCACCAATGCCTTCAGTGCAGCTTGAACTTCTTCCCTCAGTACCTTCGTTTCCTGATCATATGCTACCTCTTGAAATGGCTGAGCGTTGACCAGTTCTTTTTGGTATAATGACTCCGTGTATTCCTTCCATCTTCTTTTGATACTTCCTGTGTCATTTAATATTTTCCCCTATAGAATCCTTCACTATTGCAGCTTGAGGCTTGAATTTTTTCTTCAGTTCTTTCAGTTTGAGAAATGCCGAGTGTGTTCTTTCCTTTTGGTTTTCTATCTCCAGCTCTTTGCACTTCTTGAGCTGCCTTTTGAAATCTTCGTTCAGTTCTTTTACTTCATCATTTCTTCCTTTTGCTTTAGCTACTCAACATTCACGAGCAGGTTTGAGAGTCTCTCTTCTGACATCCATTTTGGTCTTTTCTTTCTTTTCTTTTATAATGACCTCTTGCTTTCTTCATGTATGATGTCGTTGATGTCATTCCACAAGTCGTCTGGTCTTTGGTCATTAGTGTTATAACGCATCAAACCCATTCTTGAGATGGTCTCTAAATTCAGGTGGGATATACTCAACGTCGTACTTTGGCTCTCGGGGACTTGTTCTAATTTTCTTCAGTTTCAGCTTGAACTTGCACATGAGCAATTGATGGTCTGTTCCATAGTCAGCCCCTGGCCTTAAGTTCTGAGTGATGATACTGAGCTTTTCCATCATCCCTTTCCACAGATGTAGTCGATTTGATTCCTGTGTATTCCATCCGGCGAGGTCCATGTGTATAGTCGCCATTTATGTTGGTGAAAAAAAGTATTTGCAACGAAGAAGTCGTTGGTCTTGCAAAATTCTATCATGCGATCTCCAGCATTCTTTCTATCACCAAGGCCATATTTTCCAACTACTGATCCTTCTTCTTTGTTTACAACTTTCGCATTCCACTCACCAGTAATTATCAATGCATCCTGATTGCATGTTCAATCAATTTCAGACTGCAGAAGCTGGTAAAAATCTTCAATTTCTTCATCTTTTGCCTTAGTGGTTGGCGCGTAAATTTGAATAACAGTTGTATTAACTGGTCTTCCTTGTGGGTGTATTGATATTATCCTATCACTGACAGCATTGTACTTCAGGATAGATCTTGGAATGTTCTTTTTGACGATGAATGCAATGCCATTCCTCTTCAAGTTGTCATTCCTAACATAGTAGACCATATGAGTATCCAATTCAAAATGGCCAATACACGTCCATTTCAGCTCACTAATGCCTAGGATATCAATGTTTATGTGTTCCAATTCATTTTTGATGATTTCCAATTTTCCTAAATTCATACTTCGTACATTCCATGTTCTGATTATTAGTGGATGTTTGCAGCTGTTCCTTCTCATTTTGAGTCGTGCCACATCAGCAACTGAAGGTCCCAAAAGCTTAACTCCATCCACATCATTAAGGTCGACTCTACTTTGAGGAGGCAGCTCTTTCCCAGTTGTCTTTTGAGTGCCTTCCAACCTGGGGGCTCATCTTCCAGCACTGTATCAGACAACGTTCTGCTGCTATTCTTAAAGTTTTCACTGGCTAACTCTTTTCAGAAGTAGATTGGTGGATTCTTGTTCGTAGTCTGTCTTAGTCTGGAAGCTCAGCTGAAACCTGTCTGCCATGGGTGACCCTGCTGGTATTCTGAATACCGGTGGGATAGCTTCAAGCATCACAGCAACATGCAAGCCCCCACAGTACAACAAACTAACAGACACATGGGGGCAAACCCTGTAGGGGCAAGATACTGAAAACCCTGCAAACCCTGTAGGGGCAAGACACTGAAGAAACAGATAGGTTAGCAATGGAGTGGCAGGCCTTCTCTTTCCCCATGATGTGCTGAGCACCTCCTCTGGGCCATTCAGAGACAAAGCAGGAGATGCACACTGAAATATGCTGGATAACAGTGGCATGTAACACTCATCTTTTTATACATTCCACAAATATTTACTAAGGTCCTACAATGTGTCAGGTGTTGTGCAAAATGCAGGATGCAATGGTGTAAAAGAAAGAACCATCCTGCACTCTGAGCTCAGGGTCTAGTGGATATGCAGAAAGCAGGTCATGACTAAACAGTGTGGTGAGTGCTTTGATAGGCATAGGCCAGAGCTACATCAGGCACTCATACTTTTTTCACTCTTTAGAGAACAGAAGATGAGAGTGGAGAGGCAACCATAAAATAAGGCAGTTGCAAATATTTTCATTAAGAGACTGGGATTATAAATCCTCACAGTTCAGTGGCTAAGTAATGGGCTGCAGCTAATTTGAAGTTGAGAGTAAGAAAAAGTTAATGCTATGGCCACAAAAATTACCTATCCCACCCCTGAATAAAATACAGATATTGATGGACGGATGCATGGATGGATAGATGGACGGAAATAATTATTGTGCTTTAAAACCTGAGGAGACCATGCTTCTTTGAACTGGCAAACTCAAAGCAGGAAGTTGTGGTGGCTCAGCTCTGGGAATTTTTGGCTGTTCCAAATGAATCCACATGATGGGGCACTCAGGCACTCTGCTACCTTGAGATCTTCACAAATTAGCTGCAGCACTGTACAGTACCCCCCACCCGGAGCTGGGCCCAGCCCTGCCGTGTAACAGTCTCTACATCAGCTGAAACACCTACTCCAACTGCTGGATTGTGTACAGATTGAAGGGAGGCCACGGTGAAGGCCAGGAGGCCAGTCAGGAGGCTACTGCAATAATCCAGGTTTGTACCAGGGTGGTAGAAACAGAAGAGGTGAGAAGTGCTCAGAGTCTGCATATATTCTGACAGAACTTGCTGAGGGACTGGCTGTGGGAGGTGAGAGAAAGAAGTCAAGGGTGATTCCAAACTCCAATATCTCTGGTCTTAGCGACTGGAAGAATAGAGTTGCCAGTAACAGAATCAGATAAAACTGCACGAGGAGCAGGCTTGCTGGAAGAGAGGGGCAGGGCAGGAGTTTGGGGCATATACATTTGAGATGTTGACTAATCATACATGCGTAGCTATGGAATCAGTGTGTGCTGCAGCCCTGGAGCCCTTTAATGCTGAAGAAGTCAGGGAGATGACGAGGAACCAGCAAAGATGACCAGGAAAGATCAGGTGGAAGGGACAACAGGGGAGGGAGGTATGCTGGAAGCCAGGTAAAGAAAGTGTTCTAAGGAGGAAGGCTTGATCTATGGTGTTAAATGCTACCGAGAGGTTAAGTAAGATGAGGAACAAGAAGGGACGGCTGGATTTAGCAACAGGAATGAAAGTCATTGCCATCCTTGACAAGAGCAGTTTGTTTCTTTTCTGTCCCCCTAACAGAATGCAAACTCCATGAGGGGAGGATTTTGTTTCCAGCTGGGTCCCCAGCACCTGGAACAGTGCTGGCACATGGTGGGCACTAGTTATGGATGGAATCGTGCTCCCCCAAAATATGTGTTGGAATCCTAACACCTATACCTGTGGATGGAATCCAATATGGAATAGGGTTTTCTTTGTAACGTTAATGAGGCAATGCCTGTGTAGGATGTGTCCTAAGTCTAATCACTCTGAGTTATAAAAAGAGCAGATGAGACACAGATGCAAGCACAAATAGCGGACGGCAGATGCCAAGTGAGGATTGCCAAGGAATCAAGGGACACCCAGGAGGAATCAAGGAATGCCTGGGAAGCAGTCGACATGGTTGTGACCCTGATTTGGATATTTCTGCCTCCAGAACTGTGAGAAAATAAATGTCGGTTCTTTAAAGCCTTTGACTTGTGGTATTTGTGCTACAGCAGCAGTAGAAAACTAAGACCAAAAAAAAAAAAAAAAAAAAAAAA